AAAAAAAAAAAAAAAAAAAAAAAAGAAAGAAAAAAGAAAGGGTGAGTCCAAGGCATGCCTGAACTACACAGTGAGACCTGGTCTCAAAAAATCAGAACTAAACTAAACCAAAATTCGATTGTGGTGATGGCTGCACAGTTTTGTAAAATGGTTGCAATTACCCTTCAAAACAAGACATTGATGTCTCCAACGGCCTTGGGGCCCAGGGCCGGTCACCTCCATCACCAGTGTGCTGCTTGGGGTATGGCCACAGCTCCCGGCCACCCCACGATAGCCCAGGACCAGTGAGACGTGTGCCAGCTCATGCCCCCTCCGCTCACACCCACCAGGGTACTTGGCTCAGAGGCCTTGCAAGTCTGCCCCAGGCCCTCCCTGCACCTTTCCCCTCTTCCCTCCACTGGGTCCCACTGCTGTCACTTTGTCCGTTGAAGATGGTAGGCTCCTTCCCTGCCCAGCCAGGCGCCCTGTACCCTTCTTAAATCTCTCTCCAGAGGCGCTCTTCTCGGTGAGGCCTACCCCAGGCACACCTCCGTATCCTCTACAGCCTGAATCTTCTGACCTCCTGCATCTTTACCCAATTAGTTTTGCCTCCTGCCTGCCTTCTGCAGTAGCACAGCAGCCCCACATGGGCAGGGCTTTTAATCTGCCTGCTTCACAGCTGTACCTCCCATGCCTGGAGCTGTGCGAGGTGCATAGTGGGCACCTGGCTGTTCTGCTGAATGAATGAACTTCATTTGTGCAAAAGGGGAAAAAGATCACTGGGGGCATCCAGGTTCATGCCCCAAAAGTGCAACATTGCTGAGCTCTTGGTACAAGCTGATGGTTCTTATCTTCGACCTCAGGGTGGAACTCCAAGCCAGAAGGCAGGAGGTGCCCTCAAGGACAGTGACCTTGGCCAACATCTGCGACTCGGGCCTTGCTTCAGAGAAGCCCTGTGACCCAGAAGTTCTCCGGGATCGGGCTCACAGGGCCGTTTGCCCACACTGAACTCAGAGCTCCACTCCTGATCACATCGTCTGTGCGATTCAGTGGGGACACTGCTACTGGAAGGCAGAAATCCCAGCCTCTCAGGTTCCTTGGAACGTCCGGTGGGCAGAAGCAGGAGCCTGAGAAACCACAGGAATAAGTCAGTCTGGACTTGACGGAGAATAAATAAGCGGTGTCGGAGAGAAGCATCAAGGCACGGAACTCATCTTCTAGCTCTGCGTCACCACCCAGGATGGCTGGCTGGCTGCGAATCCAGTGGGCCCCGTTTATAGCATCTTGCTAATGACAGATGCTACTTGTGTGCTGCACAGAAAGCCTTCATTTTGTTTGAGACAGAGTCTCCTTATGTAGCCTGGGCTGGCCTCCAACTCACATTGATCCTCCTGTCTCCGCCTCCCAAGTGGTGGGATCACAGGCATGTGCTACCACACCCAGCTGATTCATTTTATTTTTACTTTTTGGTACCGGGGATAGAACTCAGGACCTTTTGCTTTCGAGACAGGTGGCGGGAACACTGAGCTAAATCCCCAGCCCCAGCTGATTCATTTTAAACATCCTGCTTCACTTACGTATTTGTCCGTAACACAGTGTTCGTAACTGTGGGTCCCAGTAAAAGTTTGAAAGTCCCTGGACTTTACAAGATTTAGACTAAAGGCAAGTTCCATCATTGCCTTTGTGGATGCTGGGGTTTGAAGGGGCCCCGACTCTTCACAGCCTGTTTCCACGGCAGAGCTGAACATAGCGATTAGAATGCACAGTACTTTCAGGTGTCTAGAACTCTGCCACCTGCTGGCATGTTAGCTGTTGGCCAACCCTACAGGGGTGGTTCCGTGTGGACCTTGCTGTCAGGATAGGAGCATCTATCCACTTTTCTTTTTTTTGGTACCAGGGATGAACTCAGGACCTTGCACTTGCCAGGCAGGCACAGTGCCACTGAGCTAAATCCCCGGCTCACATCCATCCAAGTTTTACAGGGCTAATTCCATGCCAGGCCCCAGGTTGCACACTTGGTTCCGCTCGGTCAGTCCGACACCCAAACCCCAGCCCTCGCTGAACTCATCTCAGCAGGTAGTGCTAGGTGACAGCTGCTGGGGGACAGGTGTCTCCATGACGCATGCAGGTGACAGGGAAGGGGGGGCTCAACAGGGTCCCACAGTGGGTTAGCACTTTGGGGTAGATGGGCTGCCCAGGCCCCACTGGGAGGGAGGGAACATGCTTAGCAATTTCGAGAAATAGCAAGGGTCAGGTGTGGGCCCAGAAGTGGAGCAGGGTGAGGGGCCGGATCTGGGGTTGCCGCAGGACTTGGGCCAAGACCCTGGGGGCCACAGCAATGCTAAGAGCAGAGGTCTCCCGAGCTGAGCTCCAGATGAGGAGGGGACACTGGCTGGGACCGTCAGAGGAGAAGAGAGGGGGCGGGAATGAAGAGGTGGGGTGTAGGTTTCCAAAGCAGAAACAGTGGGCAGGAAAATGGGGCCCAGGCTTATGGCCTGGGGGTCTGGAAGGATGAGGCCGCTGTCAGTGGAACTGGAGCCTCTAAAATGGACATGCAGGGAAGTGGGTGCCTAAGGGGACCCACCAATCATCCTTATCTACTCCCAAGGGCTCTTCAAAGAAAATGAAAAACAGAGCTCTAGGTCATAGCCGATTCTCAGAAGGCCAAGTTGGGGCACCAGTCTGAGTCATCATCTTTTTCAAGTGAATGCTGAATGGTTTGAAGTTACAGAGAAATCTGCGAGGAAATCGCTCTCCATCTCCCGGCCCTTTGTGCTCAGCACATGGGTTCCCTGCAGGAGTCTGGAGGGCCTACTTGAGCACCCCAAACGGCAGGCTTTGCCCCAGCACTCGGCACCAACAGCCACCTGTGGGCGGAGGTGTCACATGGTTCCAACCGGCTTTATTTTAGTTTCCAATATTATCAGCAAGGGTACAGGAGTAAATCAGGCAGGGACATCACCTTAAATACGTCAGGGAGAAACTGTCAAGCATGTCTTGCACTCCAGCAAACGAACATGAACAGAACAGAGGTAGCAGCATTCAATTAAAGTGCTTTCTGCCACGCTTCTTTCAGAAAAGGTCTCTCTCTCGGTGGTACAAATTTAATTTTACTTGTTCTACCAGAAGCTCAAAATTTCATTCATTCCCCAGGGGCTATACTGAAAAAAATTCATTATTTTTTTTTTCCAAAACTTGGATTGGGTGACTGATTTTTCCTGACAGCTGTGAGGTGACCCCCGTCCTCCCATTACATGACACCCCTAGCCTAGCCGACCACTCTCTCACACGGGACACAAGGAGTACTCAAAGGCGGCCTCGCATGGCCACCCACGTTTCCCCAGACAGGTGACTGCTGGATTCAAACCCAGCAGGACCAGCTCCTCTGCTGAGCCCCGCCCTGGGCTTCCTCCTGGGAGACAGGTGCTTATTTCTAGAACATCCTGCCTAGGCCCTGCTCTTTGCCAGTGGCACAAACACCACGGTGACAGGAACCTCCCCCACTCTGACCAGTAACCATCCTGAAACTCAGTAACAGGAAGCAGTTCTTGAAGTCAACACAAGGCCAGATATGTGGAGGAAGCTCTGGGGTCCAAGAGAGCAGGAGGAAGGGGTCCAGTTTCCCACCATGGCTCTGGCTGGTGTGGATCATTGGCACGGGAAACCGTCCAGAGGCCCAGGGTGGCTTGGGTCAGCTAGTGGGGTGGGGGAGCAAGGTCAAATGGGGGCCCTGCTCCGCGCCAACCACATTCTTCAGCCATCTGGAGCAGGGCTGATGCCTCCACCTTCTGCCTTCCTTCTTCTACATCCTTTACCCACCTGGCCAGAGCAGCCCTCGCCACTGCAACACAGGTCTGCAGACTCGGCCTTTCTGCGACTACTTCAGATGCTCCAGGGAGGGGACCCAGCCACTGGGAACGTGGCTGCTCTGTGGGTACGCTAGGGTGCGGGGGGCAGGGTGTGGGGCTGGATCGTCCACCCGGTACCCTAAGGCAGGGGGCAGTCGATCACGAGACCTCTGCAAGCAGACAGATGAGCAGAGAAAGGCCTGGCAGGGCTCCCAGTACCCTGCTGTCGGGCCATCGCTGAAGCCTCCTCTGGGGCGGGGGGACGGGGCTTAGTGACGAAGGGCTCGAACGGCACGAGACAGTGGGGGCCACATCACCGAGGGCAGGCGACACCGCCCTCCTCCGCAGAGGTCCACCCGCTGTCCACTATCTGCTGGGCTGCAGGTACTGGTGCGTGAACATGTTGAGCTCGCTGTCCAGCCAACCGGCCTTATTCCTGCAAAGACAGGGTCACTGTACCGACGGGCTGGTGACAGGTGCCGCACTTAAGCCTCCACTAGCCCTATTTACCCTATTTCAGGGAAGAGGAGAAGGGGCCCAGAGAAGGGAAATAACCTGCCAACTTCACAAGGTGATGGACAGGAGAATCGGGATTTTTTGCCTCGTTAAATTGCCCAGGCTGGCCTTGAACTTGATTCTCCTACCTCTGCCTCCCATGTAGCTGGGATTAAAGGTGTGCACCCCCAGAATCAGGCTTTTCGGACCCTCAGGCCCTGTGTCTGCTTCATCAGGGACTGGGGAGAGCCCTGACTGTGGGAAGTCTGTTTTCCTGCTCGTCACCTGTAACCTTTTCCAGGCTCAGCCCTGTTCCCATGGCTGACCAGCAGCAGTGGCGATGGCAGCAGCCGGCCCTGTCCTGGGAGGTCCCAGTGGGGAGCAGGGGTCACTAGGAAGGGGCCATCCTAGGGGTGGCTGGGGAGCAGCATACAGGGCTGAAGGGGAGAGTCTGTGGGTCTGGAGTGACGGGAATGAAACCCTTCAGCCCCACCTCTTGGGCTCTACCACCCCGCTGGGTCTCTGAGGTGAGGGGCGGGGGCAGGACATTATCTGTCGTGGCCAAGCAGGATGAGGACTTCTGCAGAGCACCGCTGTGGCTGTAATGGAATCCCACTCCCATGTGGTGAAAAAGAGACACAGGGCAGTGAAGTGAGTGCTGGACCAGAACCCAGGACCCAGATTCCTTGAGGTCCATCAAATGGCTCCCAGAAGTTCCACATCTCACTGAGGCCCCTGGAGATGAGGTCCCGGTCCTGTCCCTGTGGATGGCAGGAGACTCCTCCCTCGCCTGACCTTTCCTGGGGCTCAAGCTCAGCGCTCCCCTTCTGCAGGCACAGCATTCCTGCTCAGAGGGGAGCCACTAGCCTCACCCCAGGCAGCGAGGGCCAAGGCTGCAGCTCAGAGAAGGCACCTGTGCGTTGCAATCTCACAGTTCAGTCACGCCTGCTTCCAAGGCAGTGCACCGAGTCTCACTGAGCCTACAGCTGCCAGCCAGCAGTACCTGGTGAGCATCGAACAAAGCGCAGAGAAGCCGGGCATGGTGGCACACGCCTGGAATCCCAGCACTTGAGAGGCTGAGGCAGGAGGATCGCTGTGAGTTCAAGACCAGCCTGGGCTACATAGTGAGTTCAAGGTCAGTCTCAACTATATAGTGAGACCCTGTCTCAAAAACCAAGCCAAACAAAACAAAACAATAAAGCACAGAGGTCTGTGCTGCCCTGAGCTGCCGCAGTGGCAGCCACCCTCACCTGAGCAGTTTCGCTTTGCTCTGAAGGGAATCAAGAACCTCAATTTTCTTGTTCATGGTGGCAATTTCCTGCTCCAGGTTCTCCCGGGTGACGTCCACTTGCTGGCAGAGATGTGCAAAGGTCCCAGACAGCTCCCTGGGTGGAGGGACATGGGCCGCCATGCACAGGGCTGCTTGGCAGGATGTCACCCCTGCTGGTAGCTCTGCCAGTGCCAGTCCTGACCCAGAGGGGTTGTTCCCACCCACTGCACACCCACTGGGCACCACCACGGCATGGACAGTGCAGCCAGGCTTGGGCACAAAGCCAGGATTCAGTCCCTGGCACCACTTGTCGCCTGCGTGGCAGGGGATGAGACATGATTCTCCAAGGCTGTTTCCTCATGCATGGACAGTGCAGCCAGGCTTGGGCACAAAGCCAGGATTCAGTCCCTGGCACCACTTGTCGCTCGCCTGCGTGGCAGGGGATGAGACACGATTCTCCAAGGCTGTTTCCTCGTTTTGAAAAAGGAAATGCCAATAAAACAACACCTACCCCAAAGACGAAGGAGTAAGTGAAAAGTTAGGTGCCAAATGGCTGGCAAAGGTTCTGCCATACAGCAATGAAGCAGCGCTTCCGACCCTACAGCCACAGCAGGCAACATGTCCCCTCCTGGCCTGCGAGGTGCCACAAACGGGCCTGGACCCCAGGTATCAAAGGCCATGCACGGCGCACGCAACCTTCAAAGGCCTAGCGCATACGTCCCTATCTCCCAGGACCCCCCAGGACACAAGGTGTCCCGGAGACCTTGTCCCCTTCCTGGCCCCAATGCCAGCACCCCACAAAGGCCCAGGGCTCAGGGTGCTCTGGGCCAGGCCCAGCGCCTGCTCACTGCTGGACTTGGTGGCTGCAGTTGGAGCCCGTGTAGCTGATGATGAGCTGCAGCTTCTCGCTGGCATACTCCACAAACTGCCGCTTGAAGGCCCTCTCCTTGGCCTTGGTGGTCCAGGTCAGACGCTCGTACACGTAGAGGAGGCCATAGAGCCCGAAGGAGAGGGCGATGAGCCGCCAGCCCACTGCCTTCCACACCTGCAGAGGCTCACGGTCAGTGGGCAGCACCTCTCTGGGGCCCCAGCTGCAGGAGCCCCACCCCAGGAGCCTGGTGTTCCACTAAGAACCCCTTCACTGTCCCCTTTGACCTCTCCGAGGCCAGGGGCAGGGCCTCTCTCCAGCCGGAAAGGTGCAACCGTGCTGGCCGTAGGACATGACTTACGCACAGTGTAGGGGCAAGGACCAGAGGCCAGACCTAAGTAAGCTGACTGGGGTGTGGGGGGTACTAAGGACTGAATCTAAGGCCTCCACACTCAGTTAAACCCCAAGCCCATTTTACAGTTGTGAAACAGGGTCTCACTAAGTGGCTCAATTGCCCAGGATGGGCTTAAACTTGCAGTCCTCCTGCCTCAGCCTCCCAGAGTGCTGAGATCACAAGCCTGCATTGTGCCCAGCTAAGCACAGTTCTTTCTTTCTTCCTTTAATTGGGATGATCCAACCCAAGGCTTCCCACATGCTAAGCAAAAGATCTGACACCACCATCCCAACACCCCAATAAACAGAACTCTTAAAGTTCAACGCTGGCGCGTTCTAAAGCAGTGCCTGCTAATGACTGAGCGGCAGAGCTCTGCACATTGCCGCTCAGGTGGCTCCTTCTGGTCTGTGTAACAGTCTAGCTGAAGGTAGCACAGTTACAGCCAAAGAGCAGAGCTCAGAGCCAGACAGCAAGGCTCTCACTGCCCACTGTGCTGCCCGTGTGACACTGGCCAGTTTTTTGGGTTTTTTGATATTGGCGATCAAACTCAGGACCCTGCTCTTGTGAGGCAGGCGGAAGAACCACTGAGCTAAATCCCCGGCCCTGGCCAGTTTCTTCACACAGCCTTCCTCCTCTACAAAAGAGGCCCAGGGTAGCCAGGTGTGGTGCACACCTATAATGCCAGCTACTCAGGAGGCTGAGGCAGGAGGAATACATGCTCAAGGCCAGCCTGGGTAACTAGTTTAGGGAGACCCTGTCTCAAAATAAACAGGACTGATGATGTAGCTTGGAAGTAAATCGAGAGGTTCAATCCAGAGCACCCCACCAAAAAATGTGGGTTCAAGCCACAGAGATCCTCAGCCCACTGAAGTGCTGGCCAAGGCAGGGACCCCCCCACAGAACTGAGCCCTTGGGCCCCTCCCACCACCCCACTTGTGAACTGACCACGCCGCCAACCACGAGGATGCCCATGGAGGTCCTGGAGGTCAGAGAGGCCAGGCCGGTGACCATGGAGACCATGAGCTCCTCCTGGGTGAGCGAACCCTGCGGCAGGGGCGGCATGCTAGGGTTGGCGGGTGTCAGCGGGACAGGGCGTGGCACCTGTGGAGAGAGGCGATGGAGGGCTGAGAAGGTGGCACATCTCTCAGTGAAGTAAACCCTCAGGGACCCCTAGGGCAGCTGGGACAGGGACACAGAGCAGCTCTTAAACTTCCAAAAGCAAAAAGAATGGAAAGCTTTGCATACAGCGCTCACTTTACCAGGTATTAGAACAAAGTCAGCTAGAATCACGGTTAGGACAAGGCCAGGCTGACCTGCGGCGGCAACGCTGACCATGCCACACCGTGTGGTGCAACAGCGCAGCTGGTTGCCTTAGGGAACCCACTACAGAATGCGCACGTGTCTGGTGGCTGGGTACAGTCTGACCTCCATGATGCCCTGGGGGAGGAACTGTGCTTGCCTGGTCAGTGTAGCCCATCAAGGCCCGACGACTGTTCTTAGGGCCCAGGAACCTATTCACCAGCATGGTCCATCCCAGAGAGAAATGGAACTCGATGTCCTCTTGAAAGTCAGCACACAGCTTGTCACAGTTGAGGTCGTAGCTGAGGGAGAAGCACTGGCGAGGGACCAACATGTCTATCTGATTCCGCACAGACACAGGAAGGAGGGGCTTCAAGCCATCTGTCAGGGACAAAGTGGGAGAAAGCATCAGCATGGGCCTGTGCCCCACCGGTGCCAAGCCTTAGGACAAGGGCCACACTGGCTGCGGTCAAGGATGCCGAAATTCTGCCCAGAAGCTACATTGTGGGGCAGCCTTGCTGTGCCAGGTGGGCCAGCTCTCAAGGGGACACCAGCGAGCCTGAGGGTCCAAATGGGTAACACCTAGCCTCGTGTGGGTTACAGAAGCAGGCCAGGTTCTCAGGCTGTGACAGTCCCAGCAGTAACCGGGGCAGGATCCCCAGGTCTATGTACAGAACAGACTCACGCACACCCCAGACCCGAGATACTGGGCTGAGTCACAGCGAGGTGACAGACAGGGAATGGTCAATATTTCTCTAGAGGGGCTCTGACTCCTCAGGCAGCCCGGGGCCCCATGATCCAAGTCCCCTGTGGCACTCACCGATCATGTCCTGCTGCATGGTCTGCAGGGAGCTGGCGATGGCCGTGGAACAGCGGTCGGACATGTTTCTGCCTAGCCCTTCCTCTATGTGGCGGTGCAGTTCCTGCAACCAGGAGAGGGAGTAAGAGAAGCAGCGCCCACCTGGGGGGCTTGAGCCCACCAAGGAAGACTCGTGACGAAGCTTCCACTCCACCGAGGCGCCCTGGCCCAGAGCAGCCAGGGCTGCACTGCTGACTGGGGGTTACTCCATCAATGGCCACAGAGCAAAGGGGGCCCTGCCACGAGGCGCGCTGCCTGGGAACTCACATTCTTGTAGACCTTAAGGACAACTGGAGAGGGGTGGAAATCCATCTGGTACTCATCCACCAGCACAGAGAGGCGCCTGATCTCCTCAGCCATCGCAGTGGACACCTACAGCCAAGGGACGCATGCTGTTAACACCAGGAAGCACGTGGCCTAAGCCTGCGACCCACGGAGAGACAGACCATGCCCAGCTGACAGGCGGAGGGACCCTACCCAGCGTCACACAGTGGGAGCCCAAGGGTAAGTTCTGTATTCTTCTATATTTTCCTTTTCTCGTATTTTTTCACTTCTTTCCTTTTCCCTATCGAAGCTCTGTATTCTTGAATCAGGGCCACAACTTCCTCCTGGGAGCTGAGGAGGGCCCGGAGGAGAGATGTCTGCCCTGTCCCCTTTCCAGCACCCCGGACACTGTATCTCCCCAGAGTCCTTCCTCCTGGCTTCTCACCTGCCTTTCTACTTCCTCTGTGATCTGCTTAATCCGCAGTTTGTAGTCCTGAGCCAAGCTCCAGCTGTCCTTTCTACTTCCTCTGTGATCTGCTTAATCCGCAGTTTGTAGTCCTGAGCCAAAAGCTCCAGCTGTTTGTCAATAAACCGCAGCCGGTCCTGCCGCTCTTCACGCATCTCCAGGCAGTAGACCCTGAGAGCAAGCGAGGAGAGCTGGTTAGGAGGCCCCAGTCCCGCCCAGGTGCACAAAGATGGGAGGAGACATGGGGAGCCTGCATGGCCACACCCTCTAGCCTGCTGGGCAGGGGTTCACACAGGCACCCAGGGGACCCTGGAACGGTGGGTGACAACCACTCACTCCTTGGTCTCCCACTCCAGAAGGGAGGTGCTGGGGGCGCTTAGAAAAAGTTCTGCCAGCTGTCAGAAAGCAAGCTCAGACTCAGCAGGGACTGGGGAAATGGAATGAAAAAGAGCCACTCCTTTGTCCCGGAGGCCCGGGGAAGGGCCAGTCTAAAGCTGTGGCGAGCACCGTGGAAATGGGAGTTCCCACAGGCAGTGTTGGGAGCCGTGTGGGGTACAGCTGCTCTGGAGAGCCACAGAGTAAAGCTGAGTGAGACTGAAAACACCTACCCTGAGGCACAGCAGCTGAACCCCTAGAAATCAGTTCTGAAAGACTCAGAGGTGTGCGAGGGGGCACAGACAGTGCCATTGCCAAAGAGCAGCAGCGCGAGAAAAGCCAAGACTGAAAGCCACTGGCAGGAGAGCGGGCTCTCAGCACCATGGAATCCTTTCCAGCGATGAGCACATGAACGCAGGCCCAGTCAGCAAGGGTGGGAGACAATGTGGGGCTGCAGGGACCCACACAGGAGGGCATCACACCCAACAACTAAAGCTTGCACACAGGGCCACTGTGCGCATGCCAGGATTTATGTAAAAAGTGCTTATGTCAAAGTGTAAAAACTGGGTCCCGGGCCTACACAAAGTCATGGTCACCATGGCTCTGAGAAGTAACAGGGTCAAAGAATCAAACGGCACTTAGCACCATTTTCAGTCATATTTTAACTTAATATAAAGTAAACATTGGCCTGGGATTTAGCTTAGTGGCACCACTGCTTGCCTTGCAAGTGCAAGGTCCTGAGTTTGATTCCCGATACCAAAAAAAAAAGCAAACACTGCTAATTCTGGGTGGCAGAAGCAAGTTTTTTTGTTTTTTGCTTTTTTTAAAAAGTATTATTTGCAGTACTTCTCTAATAAGGTAAAAAAAAAAAAAAGAGTCCAGGCTCTGAGGTGGCCAGGCAGGGCCCATGCTGCACAGGCAGGTGGGTGGCGGCCCCTCTCCTCCGATGTCTGTCTGGCTGAACCCAGACTCAGCCACTCCTAGGGCTCTGCCTTGAGGACGTCTATGCTGCCCAGGCTGAGTGGCAGCATCAGCTCGGCACCCCCGGCACCCCTCCTACCGCTGCTCCTGAGCTGCGATGTGCAGGGAGTCCATGACAATGCGAACGGCCTCCGCGATCTGCTTGGCCCGTACCGTGTGCTGCTCAAATTTGGTCTTCACTGCAGACTGTGAGATGCACTCCTGGAACACACAGGGCTGCTGAGGAAGGCGCCACCCCCAACCCACGGCCAAGGGTCAGGCTCTGGCTTTCCCTGCTGGGGACATGGCCAGCGAGAGGTCAGCAGGTGCAGGATCACGGGACAGCACCAGGATCAGACTTACCTCAAATCTCCGCTCAAAATTCTGAAACTCAAACATCCTCACTTGAAAGCCTTCTGCAAGAGCGCCCCCTAGGAGGATTGCACTGCATTAGCCCAGAGACAGCTACCCGCCTCAGAGGAAATCCGGGAAGCCCCCAGCCCAGTCCAATGGGCACGAGGAGTAGCCGAGGGACAGCTCTCACCCAGACAGTCTCACTGCCTGTCCCCAAAATCATCTCCACTGAGTGACATCATGGGACCTGACACCTTGAACCCGGGAGAGGAGGACCTCTGTTCCCCCAGTTACCTCCTTCCGGCATGCCCTGGGCTTTCTGGATCCTGGCATTAAGCACCTCCTTGGCAGACACAAAGAAGATGCGGTCCCCGGCCTGGGCTCGATCCACCACGTCCAGCTCATCCACCAGGAAGCTAGTACAACGCTCCATGTGCTGCCGCCGCACCTAGAACCCACACAGATGGGTCTCACCAGGGTGGGGAGCTGCCCACAGCCCTCGGCTGCCTTTTTTCCCTTAATGGGTCATGCATGCACACAAGTTGACACTGGAGAGTGAAAGGTCACCCGCCACCTCTGGTCTCAGCCACCAGAACCGCTGTCAGGGGGGTTTCTTGGGGATCAGCCCAAAGAGGGATCATGCATACGAAGGCAGAAGAGCTCACACAGGAGCCAGCCCACCTCCTTAGGGCACCCAGTGTCACACTGCAGTGGAATCTGCCGCAGGCACACGGCCCAGTCAGCCCTGCCAACTGCAGACTCAATAAAACGAACCCAACACCGACATTCTGCTACCCCTCTTTCATCTCACACACAAGTCACTTAAGAGGCATCACTGAGAACCAATTATTCTGCACTTTTCTTTCAAGCTTCTTTCTCAGTTATCTTCCTAAAGCTGAGTCTGTTCTGTATTTATAAACCAAAATGAGCAAGGATGGCCCCAAACAAAGACACACTAATGTGGTGGGCTGCCGGGAAAGAGAAGAGTCAAGGGGAAGGAGTGCTTTTAAAGCCATCATAAGAAACCACAGGGGATGCTGGAGCAACCTCTGGTGATGACACTAATTCAGGGAATCCGCCAGATCTGACACCTCCCGGGAGAGTACAACACAGCCTTGGGCAGACAGATGTACGCACAAGGCGTGGCAGCCTCCAAACTTCAAGAACAGGGCCCAAGGGCTGGGGATTTAGCTCAGCGGATTTGCAGCCTGCCTCAGAAAGCGCAAGGTCCCAAGTTCAGTCCCTCATACCAAAAACAGGACCCACCTCCTCCATGTACTCAGGCTCTGAGGCGGATGCGTCCCACCGGTTGTTCAGGATGAAGATGTTCGGGCGGGACAGCCGCTCGCTCACCTTATGGAAGAACTGCTTCTCCTAGACAGGGGGACAGGGCCTCAGGAGGAGGGGCCGTGCCAGCCAGGGCACCACCAGCCACCTGTGAAGCCGGGCCCCGGGAGGAGGTACCGTCTGCATCAGGGTGGACTCCGAGTTGGCTACCAGCACGAACACATCAGCGTCCAGGCAGAACCTGTCGATCCAGCTGTCCAGTTCGGTGGTGACATCAATCCCGGGGCTGGAGGAGATGGGGGCGAACCCACGTGGTTAGACAGAGACACGAGCCCTGTTCTTCCGGCCATGAGCAGCCTGGGGGCCTGGGAGGCAGTCGAGCCAGGAGGGGGGAATTAGGCCTAGCCCTCATGTGGGCAGTTTTACTTCCCTCTTCACATCCTTCCAGAGTACCTGGGAATGTGTGGCTGTAGCACACTCGTGCACCGCTTTCATAAAAATGTAATGACTGGTACTTTACGCATACATAAAAGTCTGAATTTATTTAGTCTTTTGAGACAGGGTCTCACTATGTAGCCCAGGCTGGCCTGCAACTTGTGGTGATCTGCCTGTTCTGGGACTGCAGGAGTACACTGCCACAGGCCTGGCCCTTCAGGCTGAATTTATGTGAGTCCAGGTAAACACGACACTAGTGTATTTCTTGGTATAGTTGTAACCTGTCCACAAAACAGTGTTCCTTTGAGAGGAAGAACATATCAGAGCAGGGTGGCTCACGCTGCTTGGGAGGTTGAGGCAGGAGGATAGTAAGTTCGAGGTCAGCTTAGGCAACTTAGCAGACTGTCTCAAAAAAATTTGTTTTTCAGTCTCAAATTTTAAAAGGGACTGGACTGCAGCTGTGTGGTGAAGTGCTTGCCTAGCACATATGTGCATCTGGGATCCATACCCAGTACTGCCTCCCCCTTGAAAAATGGGAGTAAAGTGCCGCACTGCCTCCACCACCACGTGCCCCCCCCAACATATCCCAGGGCGGGGGACGAGAGGCTGCCCTATCTCCCAACAACCCGGCCCTGAAACATCTGCAGGGCACTGATGCCAGACCTTGGAGGACACCCAAGAGGAGCAGGACTTGCTTGAGCCGTCAGAAAGGCAGCAGCAATGCATGAGCCGAGCACGAGAGCTGGCACATCTCCATGGCACAGCGCCCACTAGGTGTGCAGAGCCCTGAGTTCCAGCCCCAGTACCGTGAAAAGGCAAAAGGAAAAGTACAAGGCAGAGCAGGGCGGGATCAACCAGAAGCAGGAGACCTGGCGCCTCCCGGCCTCCAGGCGCCCTCACCTGTCCATCAGCACCAGGTCATCCTTCAGCAGCGGGCACTTGGAGTTGGGCCACATCACGCTCACCAGGCTGCCAGCGTGTAGCTGCTCATCCTGGTGCAGGGCATGGGCCAGCTGGTTCACAGTCTGCCGGGGGAGATAGAAAGATAAGGCCGAGGGGTGCCGCTTGGCAGGACCAAGACGCCCGCCATGGCACAGCAGCTGGGTATGGCTGCCCCTTTTCCTTCATCAAGGTAAGGGCTGGAGCTGTGGATAAGAACCAACTTTCTAGCTGGGCATGCTGGCACGTGCCTATGATTCTAGCACCCTGGGAGGCTGAGGCGGGAGAATCACAAATTCCAGCCTAGCCTGGGCAACTTGGTGACTAAGCAAGACCCTATCTCAAAACATTTAAGGAAAAAAAGAAGGGCTGGGGATATAGCTCGGTGCAAAGGCCTTAGGTTCAACTCCCAGTACTGCTAAAAAAAAAACAAAAACGAAAACAAAAACAAAAACAACTTCACTTCCTCTTTAAGGCTCTTTCCTGGACATTATCCTAAAGTGGAAACTACTCTACATTCTTTTTTTTTTTTTGAGACAGGGTCTTGCTCTGTAGTCCAGGCTGGTCTTAAACTCACTATGGAGCCCAAGCTGGCTTTGAACTTGCAGCAATCCTCCTGCCTCAGCCTCCCAGGTGCTGGGATTATAGGTGTGCGCCACCACATGGGCCTGGCATTAATTCTTTATGGATCTAGATAAGCACCCCGACCTGAGGTAGAAGGCAGCTGCCTCTCAGAGAAACAAAAGCATGCACGGCAGGCCCCGGCTGGTGTGTAGGAATCCCAGAGCACACAGGACCCTCAGCTGTGACTGAGGCGGATCGCTCAGCCCTCACAAGGACCGCAGCACCAGCTAAAAAAGCTCATGTGAAACAGGGTGTCCCACCTTCTGCCTCAGGGAGACACCGCCCTTTCTGCAGAGGTGGGTCATCCTGTCCCAGGGCCTCGCTCTGGTCTGAGTCCAGACTCAGCCCACAGGCACGCCTGGCCGGCACCCACCTTGACGCTCCTCTTCTCCTCCGAGCCCTCAGTGAGCAGGAAGGCCTCGTGGCCGTCGGTGCCCTCCACCCGCAGGAAGCAATTGGTGGTGTGGCCGATCCCCGAGGGCAGAACCTTGTCCCACAGCATGGCGTTGATCACGGTGCTCTTCCCGTTGCTCGTCCTGGGAGCAAAGAAGCCATCAGCCACCCCAGCCAGTTTAGGCTGCCACTGGCGGTCCCCAGTCGTGTTCTTGGCAGTGTCACTGGTGGCCAGACAGCGCCCAGAGCAGGTGCTCCGTGTTTGCTAGTGTCCCCTGGCCTGAGCAGTGGCAGGGCCTGGGCCACCACTTCACGCCATGTGGGAACGGCTCGTGCAGCACACGGCCCGTGTGACCTGGCACCTGAACACCGCTGCCTCAGCATCGGCACCACCGACGAAGCCTGTGCCCACCAAGCACAGCCCACTCCCGACCAAACCACTGAGCCGAGGGCCACACCGAGACTGTCACAGGGTGTCAGGACAGGACTCGAGCCACAGTGCCTATTCCTCCAGCGACTGCCACACATCTGGCACTCCACCTGGCTAGAGGCCTTTTTCCTACATCCAATTTAATTTATTTTCAAGTGTCTACGAAAGTCAACTAAAACAGAAAACTCTAACAAGAAAATGGAGGGAATGCTTCAAGACACTGGGGAAATGCAAAACAAACGTGCAGTGGGAAGCAAGACACCCTGTAGTCAGGAGGCTGAGGCAGGAGTCACACAAACTAGGCATTAGAGACCAGACTGGGCAACAAAGCAAAACCCCATCTCAGAAACAAAACAAACACAAACAAACTCACAATAGGATACCACTTCACACCCAGTAAGCATAGCCACTACCAAAAGCCAGAAAACAAAGATCACTACAAGGACGTGGAGAAACAGAAGCACCTGTGCCAGGCGATGTGCAACGAAAAAGAGCGCAACGGTTCCCGAAATAGTAAGCATGGAGGTTATGAGACCCCTGACGCCCAAGAGAACCGACTGAGGCCCACGGGACAGAAGTGCACCCCATGCACACGCAGTCAAAAGGCGGGAGCAGCCCAGTGCCTAGAGGGGTGAGCAGATGCACGTGAAATGCCTTCAGCCTAGAAAAGGTGGGGTCCAAGAGTGAGGTCCAAGAGGACTACTACCTAGAATATATAAAGAACTTAAAAAAACCAGGACCCCCAAATATAAAGATCTAATTCAAAACTGGACATCTGAAATGAACAGACATTTCTCAGACAAAGAAGTAAAAGCAGCAAACATATGAAAAAACATCCAACATCACTGGAGAGATGCAGATGAAAACAACACTGAGATTCCACCTTATCTCAGAAAGAATGGCTGCTATCAAGAAATCAACCAAGGGCGGGGGATTTAGCTCAGTGGTTCTGCCGCCTGCCTCACAAGTGCAAGGTCCTGAGTTCAATTTCTGGTACCCCCAAAAAAAAAAAGAACTAAACGAAGCCAGGGATTTAGCTCAGCACCACAGTGTCTGCTTCACAAGTACAAGATCCTGAGATCCTGAGTTTGATCCCTGGTACGAAAAGAAAAGAAAAGAAGAGAAGAGGAGAGGGGAGGGGAGAGAAATCAACCAATAACATGCTGGTAGGGCTGCGAGGAGAAAGGAACCCTTCTCCACTGTTGGTGGGAGTGCAGACTGGTCAACCACTGTGGAAATCAGCATGGAGATACCTCAAACAATTAGGATTAGAAGTCCCATTTGAGCTAGCTATTCCTCTGCTGGGTATCTACCCAAAAGAATTAAAAGCATCCTACCACAGTGATATATGTGCACCCATGTTTATAGCAGCACAGTTTGTAATAGCTAAAACTTGGAAACAGCCCAACTGCCCATCAACTGGAGACTGGATAAAGAAGATGTGGGGTTTTTTATATATATAAAATGGAGTGCTACTCCGCCATAAATTATGAGAAAGTAGAGACATTTATAGCTAAGTGGGATGCACAATGAGACCAAACTCTTAAGTGAAATTAATAGGACACAAGTGTAAATACCAAATAATTTCACTGGTGTGAGAAACTGAAAATGTAAATAAGGATCAAAAAGTATAATTAATAATGTGAAATAGGAAGAAAGGTCTAAAGAGGTAGGGGAAATGAGAGGAGAAAGGAAAAAATATGAGACTAGGAAAAAATGGAAGCAAAGTCTTTGTAAATAAGGAGGGGTGGAGGGTTTGGGGGGAATGGGTAAAAAATAAGAACCAAGATACATCATGTAAAGGTACAAGATCCCAATGATGAATGTAACTGTATTACACACCTAAAATGTACCAATAAACTTAATTGAAAAAAAAAAAGGCAGGGTCAGTTTTCTAGCTTGCTTTTGCATTACTAGGGACAGAATTCAGGACCTTTCCACTGAGCTACATCCAGCCTTTGAATATTTACTTTTTTTTTTTTTTCCAAAACAGGGTCTTGCCAAGTTGCTAATTTGCCCAGGCTGGGCTTGAACTTGTGATCCTCCTGACTCAGCCTTCCAGACTACTGAGATTATAGGCGTGTGCTACTGGACACAGCTCAACCTGAAATTCTGACACATGCTACACGAATGAACTCTGAAGACACTACGCTGAGATGGAAGCGGCCGAGACCCTCTGGTGGGCCTGCCTCTTTGGCACAGAGCAACAGAGGAGCCCAGCCTGGCCCCCGCCCAATGAAATTCATAGACTGAGAGTAAAAGGATGGAAAAGCAGTTCTCTGTGCAACAGGAGCCTGGAAAAGAGTAGGGATAGCTATCTTATTTGCAGACAGAGTAGATTTCAAACCAAAACTAATTAAGAGAAACAAAGAAGGCCACTATATCCTCGTAAGGGAACAATACAAGAGGAAGAAATGACAATCATAAATATATATGCACTGAATACTAATCATCAATACTCCACTGACACACATAGATCATCTAGACAAAAAAATTAACAGAACTGAACATCTTAGAACACAGACTTAGTAGATGTCTACAGAGTATTTCACTGCACAAAATCAAAATATACATTCTTTTAGGCTGCACATGGGTCATTCTCTAAAATAGACCACATGCTAGCTCACAGAACATGCTTAAGTACATGCAAAGGAATTGAAGTTACCCCTGTATATTATCAGACCATAGTGCAATTAAACTGGAGATCAATAGCCTAAGAAACCACAAGAACTTCAAAAACACATGGAAATGAAATAAAACCCTGCTAAACAACCATTGGGTCACAGAGGAAATGAAAGAAAAAAATTAGACAGTTTTTACAATTAAATGATACAGGAACCTATGGGACACAATGAAAGCAATTCCACGAGGGAAATTCATAGCAGTAAATGCCCGTATTAGAAAAACAGAGTGAGCTCAAATAAACAACCTAACGCATAAACCTTAAGCTTCTAGAAAAAGAAGAGCAGGACAAACTGAAAGCTCATACAAGGGAGGAAATTACAAAGATCAGAGCAGAAATTAATACACTGGTGACTAAGAGAACAACACAAAAAAATCAATGAATCAAAGAGTTGGTTTTTTGAAAGAATAAATAAAATAGATAAACCCTTAGCCAACCTTATCAAAAAAAGGAAAGAAAAGGCTCATAGTCATGCAACTAAGAATGAAAAAGGTGAAGTCACAACAGATCCAGCAGAAATCCATAGGATCGTCAATACCTACTTGGAGAACCTGTATCTAATAAAAGGGAAAACACAGAAAAAAAAATGGACAGATTTCTAGATACATATGAACTTCCAAAGTTGAACGAAGATATAAAAAAGTCTAAACATCCCAATTACATTCAGTGAAATTGAAAATGTAATTAAAACATTGCCAACAAAGAAAAGCCCAGGTCCTGATGGCTTCACTGCTGAATTCTACATTTTCAGAACTATCACCACTATTCTTTAAACACTTCAGTGAAACTGAAAGGGAAGCAATACTTCCAAATTCATTCCTGGAAGCAAGTGTTACTTTGATTCCAAAACAAGGGAACCAAAAAAAGAGAACTATAGGCCAATCTCCCTAATGAACATAGATGCAAAAATCCTCAATAAGATACTGGCAAACAGAATACTGAAGATCATCAAGAAGATCATTCACCCTGACAAAGTTGGATTTATCCCAGGGAGGCAAGGATGGGTCAACATATGTAAATCAATAAATGTAATACAGTATATTAGCAGAGTCAAGGACAAAAAATATATGATCATATCAATAGATGCAGGAAAAGCATTCAACAAAATTCAACACCCATTCATGATAAAATCCTACAGAAAATTGGAATAGATGGCCTTTATCTCAATTTGATAAAGGCTATCTATGAAAAATCAAAAGCCAATATCATTCTAAATGGTCAAAAACTGAAAACCATCACACTAAAATCAGGCACAAGACAAGGATGTCCACTGTCACCACTTCTGTTCAATATAGTTCTAGAAACATTAGCCACAGCAATTAGACAAGACAAAGAAATAAAAGGAATAAAGACAGGAAAGGAAGAAACTAAACTGTCACTATTTGCTGATGACATGATACTCTACATAGAAGTCCCAAAAAACTCTGGCAAAAGACTTCTAGATTTAATTGACAGATTCAGTAGAGTAGCTGGATACAAATTCAAACTCAAAAATCAAAAGCCTTTTACACAAATAACAGACCCACTGAGAGAGAAATTAGGGAAACAATTCCTTTCACAATAACATCCCAAAAAATGAAATATCCAGGAATCAATCTAATGGAGACAAAAGATCTCTGCACTGTAAATTACAACAATGTGAAAAAAGAGAAGAGAATATAAGAAGATGTAAAGACATCCCTTGCCCCTGGGTAGGAAGAATCCACATAGTGAAAATGGCCATACTTCCAAAACCGCTATACAGATTCAATGTAATCCCTATTGAAATCTCAATAGTATATTTCACAGAACTTGAGAAAACAACCCAAAAATCATTTGGAACCAGAAGAGACCTAGAATAGCAAAAATCATTCTAGGCAACAGAGACATGGCAGTGGGTATCACAATGCCCAACTTGCAACTATACTACAAAGCCACTGTGATAAAAATAGCATGGTACTGGCAAAGAAACAGACCCAAGGATCAATGGAATAAATTAGAAGATGCAGAAACAACACTAGACATACTCAGAGACCTCATCTTTGACAAAGGAGCCAACCATGCTCACTGGAGGAAACACAGTCTCTTTAATAAATGGTGCTGGAAAAACTGGCTTTCAATTTGCCAAAGATTAAAACTAGATACCTATCTTTCACCATGCACTAAACTAAAATCCAAATGGATTAAAGGTCTAAATATCAAAACAGAGCCAGGCGTGGTGGTGCACACCTGCAATCCCAGCACTCAGGAGGCTGAGGCAGGAGGATTGCTGTGAGTTCGAGACCATCCTGGGCTACATAGTGAGTTCCAGGTCAGTCTCAACTACAGAATGAGACCCTGTCTCCAAAAACACCAATAAATAAATAAATAAATAAATAAATAAACAAACCAAAAAGCACTAAACTGGCATGGGAGAAGACTTTATTTATTTAAGGCTGGTCTCGAACTCACAGCAATCCTCCTGCCTCAGCCTCCCGAGTGCTGGGATTACAGGCATGAGCCACCACGCCCAGCCTAAGAGAAGACTTTATGAACAAATCTTTAGTAGCATAAGAATTTGCACAGAGTCAGCAACTAGGATCTAAACGTATTAAAAAGTTTTTGCAGTGCAAGAGAAACCACCAATAGAGCTAAGAGACAACCTACAATGTGGGGAAAAAAATTTACCAGCTACTCCTCAGACAAAGGACTACTATCTAGAATATATAAAGAACTCAAAAAAATCAGACACACCCCCAAATACAAAGACCCGATTCAAAAATGGGCATCTCAACAGAGATTCCACCTCACCGCAGAAAGAATGGCTGCTATCAAGAAATCAACCAATAACAAATGCTGGTGGGGCAGTGGGGAGAAAGGAACCCTTCTCCATTATTAATGGAAGTGCAGACTGGAGCAACCACTGTGGAAATCAATATTTAGATATCTCCTCCTCAAAGAACTAGGATTAGAGGTCCCATTTGACCGAGCTATCCCTCTGCTGGATATCTTTCCAAAAGAATTAAAAGAATCATACCACAGGGATATATATGCACCCAGGTTTATAGCAGCACAGTTCATAATAGCTAAAACTTGGAAACAACCCAAATGCCCATCAACAGGAGACTGGATAAGGAAGAATTCTATAAAATGGAGTACTACTTAACTATAAAGAATGAGAAACTAGAGACATTTATAGCTAAATGGATGCACATCAAGGCTGTACTCTTAAGTGAAATAAATAGGACACACTTGAGTAAATACCAGACAGTTTCTCTGGTGTGAAAAAGTAAAAGTGTAAATAAGGTTCAAATGGTATAAATGATAATGTGAAACAGAAGAAAATGGCTAAAAGGGTAGTGGGAAGGGGGGGAAGAAATAAGGAAAAGAAAAAAATGTGAAAAAAGGAAAAAATGGACCCAAAGACTTTGTAAATAGGGAAGGATGAAGGGGGTGAAGGGAGGACAGGGGTATGGGGGAAAAACAAGAACCAAGATATACCATGTAAAGGTACAAGATCCTAGTGATGAATGTAACTGTACCGTTTACCTAGAATGTACCAATAAATTCAATTTAATTAAAAAAAAATAAAAAAGAAAGTAACTACATCATATACCTAAAAGGTACCAATAAACTTAATGGAAAAAAAAAAAAAAAGATACTACAATGAAAAAAGCCAGTCACCAAAAGACAAACACTGTATGTTTCCACTAATTCTAGGGCACTCAAATCCCTAAAGACAGAAAGTAGCATGCAGGTGGCAGGGGTAGGGGTGACGGGGAGTTACCACTGGGTGGGGACAATTTCAGTCACACTAAGACAGAAAGTTCTAAAGACTGTTGTGTAACAATGTGAATATGCTCGGCCAAACCATGTACCGTACTCCAAGTCGGTTCCCTTAGGTGGCTGCGGTACGGCTGGGTGACGGAGCGTGGCTCAGACTCACCGGCCAAAAAAGGCCACCTTCATGTGACGCCGGGCCAGCACCTCACTGATGCCCCTCACTTTGGACAGGTAGCCTTTGACGTCCAGAACCTGCTCTTCCGTTGTGACAGGGTCCAGCTCAGCATTCCTGTAGGTGTCTGGAGGAGGAGACGACAAAGGTCACCATATGGCAGGAGTTCTGTGACCAGAGCCCGGAAGGACCCGAGGGCTGGCTCTGCTCTCCAGGACCTCCACAAGGCCACCTCCCTGCTGTGGCTCCTCAATGTGGCGGCCAGGACAGGACTGGGAGCAGAACTGCCTGCATCCCAAGCTGGTTCTCACAGCCGCCCAACTCTGTGACCTCAGGCACAGGAGCCTCACCCGTAAGATGGAGGCAGTAGTGCTCACTCCTCTGTGTTACTGTGCATGGGTGCTGAGAACGGGGGCTGCTGTGAGTGCCTGGATGCTAACTGCTCCTTTACTCAGGTATTTTGTCTCAACAAATGCTTACAAAGCCCTCAGCACGGGCCAGGCACTGTGCCAGTCACTTTTCAAACATGGCCTCATCTCAGCCTTGCGCAGGGTCATAAGCAGCAGAGCCAGGATCTGAACCAGGCACCCTGGCTCCATGGTCCAGGCTCTTATGCCCTCGGTGTCGCTCCCTGACCTGGTCCTGCTGGCCTCTCTTCACCTCACTGTCTCCCTGAACTCACCAGCCCTCACCCTGCCCCACCCCTGCCCTGCGCTGAGCAGATTAGATGAATGGTCTACCTTGGAGCCATGGCTCAGGCCCACTCCACCTCGGTCACTCCGGAGCCTTCCCCGACCACATCTCCAAGGCTCTCGCCACTTCAGAGAAGGCCCAGGTGGGAGATTGACCTCGCTAAACAGAACAACCCAGCTGCAGCCCAGGGTGCCTCTGCTCCTTCCCTCCCTGGGCCAAGCAGTGCGGGTCACACAGTCTCACAGTTCAAAGCACGCATCGCATCAACACCTCTGGCAGCACACGCTGGCCCACAGCCTCTCGCCAGTGACTCGGGGGTCACAGGGCCACTCTGGGCTCTGGGAGGACAGCAGCCTCGTCATCACCTCTGCAAGCCCATGCCTGGCATGAAGCCTGGCAGAGCAGGGCTCCTGCTGAACAAGCAGGGACTGCTGAGGAGGGCGGAGGCACCACCAGGCCAAATGCTAAGTTACATAAGCCAGACACAGGAGGTTTAATAGTGCGTGGCTTCTCTCATACAAGAAACCCAAAGAATAAATCATTGAAAGAGTGAAACAAAAGATTTTAGGAAACGGGGAGACAGAGCTGCGTGTGGTGGCACATGCCTGTAATCTCAGCTGGGGAGGCTGAGGCAGGAGGATCACTGTGAGTCCAAGGCCAGCCTGGGCTACATAGTGAGTTCAGGGCCAGCTGAACTACAAAGGGAGACCCTGCCTCAAGAAATGAAAAACAAACAAACAGCAAAAACAGGGAGACAGACTTTGTGGAATGGGAAAGGGATCTGGGGACAGAAGGAAGGTGAAGGGGAAGTAAAAAGGACCAAGAAGTGGTATGTAGGGCCAGGGATTTAGCTCAGTGGTGCCGCTGCCTGCCTCACAAGCGCAAGGTCCCGAGTTTGATCCCAGTACAAAATAAAAAAGTGATATGTATTAGTATCAATTCTCCACAACGAATGTATTTACCACACTTGCAAACATTACCAATTTAAAAAACAAAGAAGTAATGAATTAGAATCATTTCAACTTCTAATCCTTTATTTTTAAAATTCAGATTTTTAAACTCTTTATTTACTCACTTAATTGCTGGGGATCAAACCCAGGGGCTCAAGCATACTAGGCAAGGCCTCACTCACTGGGCTACACTCCCAACCCTACTTTTTAATTTAAAAAGTATTTAGAGGAGGGTCATGGATTTAGCTCAGTGGTTCCACCACCTGCCTCACAAGTGCAAGGTCCGGAGTTTGATCCCCAGTACCAAAAAAACAAATTATTTAGAGGACACTTTCTTTTGCATCAGGCACCACACAAAGGGCCAGGCACAGACAGGTTAATGAAGCTGGACGCAGACCCCTTCTTTCCGGGCGCCTCACCTGGCAGCGCCATGAGGCACAGGGGCTCCAGCAGACAGCAGCCTGGGGAGAAAGTGGATCACCCAGGCCAGGGCTGCCCCTGGGGCATCGCCAATGATTTCTCAGGTTCCCTATGCAAGAACCTGAAAACCTGAGGGTCTCACCTGAGCCCATTTCACACAAGAGAAAATCGAAGGCAGCAGAGAGCCAGCTGCTGGGGCTCATAGCAGGGAGCCTGAGCCGGCCAGCAGCTGGAGCTGGTGTGGGATGGAGGGGAGCTCTTTGAGCTAGCCCTACCCTGCTGGCAGAGCAGGGACTATAGGCAAGCCTCAAATTAGTAACGAGTAGAAAAGGCAAAGGTGACAGGAATGCTTACTGACAGTGCTGTCACCAATCTAAAAATATCACAGCAAGGGCACCCTGTCGAGGATAACCAACACCTCACAGTGCCTGGCATTGTGGCAGCCAGAATTGGGCCAGGGAACATAGGGGCTGTGAGGTTGTAGACAAGCACTAGGTCACTCACAAGGTAGGGGACAACTCACAAACCTTGGTCTGTTTGTCTTTTAGATGGGGATAGCATTCACCTCAAGCTCATGACAAGGAAAACAAGTTCATGGAATTCTTAAATCAATTCTTTTTTTAATGCTAGTTCCTGGGTCTTCCTGGCCTAAGCTTCTAGAACCTAATTCTATGAGATTCTAAAATCAGAGCGCGATTCAGGGTAATGACCATGCGTGTGCATTTGTCCCCCCAAATCAAGGCTGTACCTCCCTTCTCCCACATCCTGCTACCTGAGGATGTCAAAAGATGAGAGTTACATAAACTCGCCTCACCTTCAAGGAAGGTGGCGCTTTCCTGGATGTAGGCCCCCAGCTGCTCAAAGATGCCATTGATCTTCTTCTTGGCAGTGACAAAGTGCTTGAGAGGGGATGCATTCACCTCAGCCATGTGTCTCTTATCCTTCTTGACCGTGACAATGGGGTTGCATCGAGAGAAGAGCAGGGACATCGCGCTGCAAGAGAAGACAACATGAGTACGCTCCAGAACACCTACCTGGGGCACTGTGCTGGGGCATGGCAGGGCGTGAACGGAGAACTGGGCCCAGCTTATGGGACCCGCCAGGACCCGCTCCAGAGGTGGCAAGGTAAGAACCAGCTGAGGTGAGTAGGAAGGGAGATCTTAGGAAACTTGGGCCACTGTTCCTGCCACACTGCAAGGGGCCCAGACACCTGAACAGTGACAGACGGGGAGAGACAGGAAGGAACCGCAGGGTCACACAGAGAAGCCATCCGCCGAGTGTAAGAAGGGTGGCAGAAATCTGACTTCTCCCTACACACCATCTGAGCACTGCACAGAGAGAACAAGGTGAGGCTCAAGGTCAGTGATGCGCACCACTCTTCCCTGGGCAACCTGCTGCCCAGGCGCCCAGTGGCACTCACTCCTAACACAGCTTGTATGTTTGCTTAGGGGTAGAGACAGAAAGAGATCTACTGCTAAAACTTATTTCAAAAAACGTTTATTGGTCTCTCTCTATATTTATTTATTTATTTTTTGGTATCAAGGATCCAACTTGGGTCCTAGCGCTTGCAAGGCAGGCGGTGGCACCACTGAGCTAAATCCCCAACCCCATATTGGTTTCTCAGTATAACGTGTGCATTATAGAAAATTTGGAAACTAAAGGAAAAATCCCTAAGTCTTCCACTCTGTGATAAGCACTGCTAACATTATTAACACTTGTCTTTTTCACAGGTCAAAAGAGGCAGACAATCAGAGAAGGCGGTTCCAGGTGTGGCTGGGAAACCCTGCCCCCAAAATGGAGCCCGCCAGGTCCTCCTCAGAGTTCCCACCACAGAGGGCCAGGGGAAGTGTGTACAGCTGTGTCCCTGGCTCTGTCACTCCCTCCCAGGGCAGCCCAAGTCTCTGCTGGGAAAGGGGAAAGTGTTGCTCACGAGCGAGCACACAAGAAACTTCCACAAGGTGGCAGATGGTGCTGAGCAAGGTCCTGAGAAGCAAAAAGGCCATCCAGAGAAAGTGCATGAAGCCTGAACACCAAAAGTGGCTCTTAGGAATTACCCAGCCCCAGGGATAGGCATCCACGGGAAGAAGGGAAACCACACACTCGCTCAAACCTACAAATCCTTTTGCAATGTGAAGGCTTCCTTAGGAGAGGGGAAGGAAGTGACACCACTTCTGTTTCTACCTCCCTCCTCAGTACAATGCCACACCTATGAGATGTGTTTTCTTAACTAAAAAAGATAACAGGGCCCTGAGAAAGAGAACTGGAGATAAACTGACTCTGGTGCCTCCAACGCAGAAAAGGAGAGTGCACTGGAATCAGGGAAGTGCTGGGTTGGGGCTGTAGCTCATCAGTAGAGTGCTTGCCTAGCACACAAGGCCCTGGGTTTGAGCCCAGTACCAAGGAGGAAAAAGGCCACACACAATGAAGGCGTCTGGGAAGGGACCTGATTGAGGGTTGCACACAAGAGATTTTGGAATCAGCCATAGTTGGGTATAAACTGTGACTGCAGCCAGGCATGGTGGTGCACGCCTATTATTCCAGCACTTGGGAGACTTTCTTAAATGTGTCCTGCCATCTTGACCTCCACAGGAGATGGGTAGGGCCTGGATTTTTGAGGGAGGAAAGATATATTGAGTATATGTTGAGAGGAGTTGGATCAGAGTCAGTGAAGCAAATTTTGAAGGCCCAGGCGTGAATTCAGTGTTAACAAAGGCTGGCAGAGAGTCCAAGTACACGATGAGGCAGGAGGATCACTGAGTTTGAGGCCAACCTGGGCTACATAGTGAGCTCAAGGCCAGCCTGAACTACAAAGCGAGACCCTGTGACTGTACTCTTCCTGGGCTACACAAATTTAATCATGTTGTTTCATCTCAGAAACTTGATTTCTTTATGTGTAGCACAAATACAAAACTATATAAACTGTGAGAAGACTAAGGATGATGGTGCAAGCTTACCATTAATGCGCGCGCGCGCACACGCACGCGCGCGCACACACACAAAATAAGGAATCAAAGGTAGTTTTACACAGTTTAAAGCAGTAACAATAAACCACCAGCAAGATCACATGATTCTCCCAACATGGCCCCAGCCTGCAGGGAAAGTAACTCTACCAATGACCCACTGCTGCCCCTGCTGCCTCTGCTGCCCTGGAGTTAAGCAAACAGCCCGCTGGGAGGAGCAGCTGTGCCCAGCCCCAGCAGTGACACTTGCAGGGGGCAAGTTCCAGGTAGCAACTGGGCTTTCAGAAGCAGGTGCTTTTTAAATTCTAGTCACTGTGCAAGCCCGAAGGATAGGAAACTATAAGCACAAGTGTGTAAGGCCAAGATTCAAAGGAATGTATATCAGCAGAAGCTTAGTCATTCAAGGTTAAAGTCTGCGGGGAATTCAGCTGTCCAGGAAGTACCCGTGCTCACCATTACACAGCCTGCAGCTGCAAGCCCCAAACACATTGTCAAACCCACCAGCAACTCCTCCAAGCTGCGTGATTTCTCCAGCCCTGCCGATTCCCAAACTGAGATTCCACCTTAATTCTCCCAGGAACACTCCCTTCCTTGTATCCACTTGGCACACACTTACTGTCCTAGACCCACTCCACAGAGAACACACACCCTCACCAGACTCTGTCCCCACCTAACCTCTGAGCTCCTTGAGAGCCAGTCTTCAATAACAGTGACCACTTCCCACATCCCCTTCCTCTCCACAACAGTGACAGCCATGGGACGAGTGGGGCACGTCCCCCAGGGTGTCCTAAACCTTCCATCCCTGGACACACAAATTCACTTTCTTCATAAAAAGCAATGTTTGGAGCTCAACAAACCTTTCAGATTCTGAAATTCAATCCTTCCAAAGAGCAAGCTTGGGGCTGGAGATTTGGCTCAGTGGTTTCAGCGCCTGCCTCTCAAGCACAAGGTCCTGAGCTCGATCCCCGGTACCCCCCCAAAAATGTACAGTTTCATGTCAACCAAAGAGCGAGCTGGACATACATGCCCCAAAGGACCAACGTCGCAAAACTCATACACAAAAGCCAAGACAGGGCCTCCACTACCTCACTATCTCAGGGCTCAGTTTGCTGGCCCTCTAACTCCCTCAGAGCCACGGGAAGCAGCTGGGTTCCTGTTCCTCTGGAAAGCTCTGATAGACACTACTCGGACACAGGGCTTACCGAAGGCACATGGCGCCCAGCCCCCAAGCACAGCTGAGCTGCACAGTCCAGCTCAGTATCAGTGGCACACTAAGCAGCACACTCAGAGCTTTTGTGACAGCTCAACGTGCTCTTGATATTATGGACTCAGGTAGTGACGATTTTTTTTTCTTCTGGTACTAGGGATCAAACTCAAGACCCTGCACTTGCTAGGCAGGTGCAGCACCACTGAGCTAAATCCCCAGCCTGGGACTCAGAGAGCTTATAGGAGTATTTCCCAGTGTGGTCCACAGAACACTAGTAGCACCCAGTGTTCCATTCTAGAATCAATTTGTAAAATACCATGTTTTGCTGTCCCTCTCCACTGACACAAACGGACACAGTAAAAGCTATACGAAGGTGAGTTTAAATACAATTTAATTGTATTTGATCAGCATTGCACACATTTATTCAGTGAAGAAACTCCTCTGTGTAACAGGCTTTAAAACTGTGATCAGAGCTGGCTGTCATGGTACAGTCCTATAATTGCAGCACTTGGGAGATTGAGGCAGGAGGATCACCTCGAGTTCAAGGGTATCCTGGACTACACAGCATGACACTCTCCCAAAAAGCAAAACAAAACAAAAATTCTGACAATCACACTCCAGGAACAGGCTCTCTCATCCTGGCGGTCTTCTACTCTCACCCCCCAAAAAGTGCCAGGGGTACAGTATTAACAGATATTAACCTAAGACTGGACACAATGCCAATTTGGAATGAGACTGCTTGTCAAGGTGATCAGAAGCTTTGCCTCAACCTAGACCAGTGGTGGTGAACCTATGGCAAACCCATGTCTCTGCAGGCTGTATCACTGAAAGCTCTAAAAGGTTTGCCATCACTGACCTAGGCTATTAGTTGAGAAGTATTAGGTATTTAGGGTGTAGGCACAGCAGCAGCAAAATTCATTATAAGGTGCGTTCGGATCCCAAGCACAGTCCCTAAATCCACACCACCTCCTTACCCAGTTGTATGTACAGCAACTCCTAGCAGGGAAAATAAAATGCATCCACGGATCGTCTGCTGGCACAACTGGAACAGAGGAGAAGCTGAGAAATTGAAACAGAAGAGTATACAGGGTAAAGGGGCAGAGCAGACTCTTAGAAGAACTGTAATAAGGAGCCAACCGCTACTGGGCAGAGCCAGGGAGGAGAAAAGCCAGCACAACAGAGAAGAACAAAAAGGGAGGTAGAGACTAATTCTTCAAGGAGCACAGGAGATCCTGGCCACTTTAAACAGGCTCTCTCAGCAACCAGTTGAAATTTTTTGTGGAAGTAGAAAAGAGATAGAATGTTCTTTCTCAATAGTTTACAATGCACTGTCTCTATGCAAAGAGGACCCCATCCAAGAAACTTGCCACCTGAGGGTCAGGGCCAGCAGAGTACAATACACCCCTTTTCACTCAACCCAGATCCAGGGTGCCGGAGGTCAAAGCTATCACTTACTCTCTGGATGGTAAGAGACTTTCACAGGGTGGGCATCATGAACATGGCTGGAGTCAAAAAATTTTTTTTAAATCCGAGTTCTCCTCTGCTGTCTCAGGTCAAGCTTGGCTGTAGATGGTGCTGACTCCACCTGTTCCACCTTACCAGAAAGGAAAGAGATGTCAACAGATGGCAAGAAAGAAAAAAACAACTGGTGTGCACAACAGGTCTAGTCAGGCTATAAAGCCAAACAAAACTCATCCCTCAGGAAAGCTTACTCACTGAGGTCCATGGGTACTGGGTGGCACGTGAGAAAATACCCTGAGGAAAACACAACACACAGGTGCGGGGCCCGTCTTGGGTGCACATAAACACATGTTCAGCCATGTGCTGGCTTAAGTGTTACAGAGGCCCCCTAAGAGGATCTGGAAAAGGCTCATCCAGAGAGGGGAGGGGACAAGTACTGGGGCTGGACTAATTGCCAACTAGAGACGGGAAGAGAAGGGTGAGGAAGAGAAATGTAACTGATTAAAAGCAAATAGGAAAAAAACCACAAAAGCCAATAGGGCTGGGGATTTAGCTCAGTGATGCTGCCCCCTACCTCACAAGCGCAGGGTTCCGAGTTTGATCCCCGGTATAAATAAGTAAATAAATAAATGCCAATGTACCCCACGAAGGTACCTCACTTCACTCTCAATTCTACGTGGGGTAAGGAGAGGCTTGGAATACTTGGGAGATTTACAGACTGATAGTCCATTGACCTAACAGGGAACTGAGATACTGTATTCAAAAAGTTCACTGTGTTTTTCAACTTCATGAAGCTGCCTCACAGTCCCTTTCTGGAGACAGGAATGGGTAAATCAGACCCCTTTCTTTTCTGGGATGAGGGAGAGAGAAAGAGAGAGAGAGAGAGAGAGATGACAGAATTTAAAGAAATGGGACAAAAATGGATTTCAAAACAGGGGGACGAGCAGCTTTGTCTTCCTGGATCTAAGCAGGTATTTATTCAGCATTTTCTGTGTGTGTGTGTGTGTGTGTGTGTGTGTGTGTGTGTGTCCGCGCGCGCGCCAGGCACCAGGGTCAGAGATAAGAACAGTCCCTATCCTCAAATCCACTATGGTGCGATGAGAAGTCATACAAGTAAATAGGCCGCGGTACTAAGCGCCCCAGGTGGGGCAGGGCAGGGCAGGGCAGGGCAGGACAGGACAAGGTAGGTCTGGGAAGGGCGTTCCAGGAGTGAACGGCACATCTATCGGGTGCTGAGTAAATACTGGCAAGAGAAGGGGACTGGGTGAAAAACACGAAAGGGGCACGAGTGGAAGGGTGGCCGTGAAGGCAGGAAGGCTGGCGATGGGGGCTCCGGAGGACTCCACGCCGTAAACCCGGGTCCTGCGTCCCGCCCCCTCCTCTCAGAACAGCGAAGGGCCAGGCTTCGAGGCCAGAGCGTGGGGACGCTCGTCTGACCTAATCTTCAGCCTTGAGAGCCCCACTGTTCCACCAGCCCGGGTTGGACTGCTCAAAGATCTCCAGGCCAGGGCTGGCGAGTCCCACTACCCCAGCGCGCTCGCCCTCTCACCTTCACCTTCCTGGCCTCGCGGCGGCCATCACATCCAGGACGTCACCGGCGAGCGCCATCCCGAGGAGCGGTAAAAGGAAGGCGGGGACGCGCGCGTCATCAGCCGCCGACGGCTCCCCTCTCCTCCTAGACGAGCCAGTGGACTTCCGCGCTCAGCCAGTTGGACCTTACCACTCCTTCTGTCTCAGAGGTCTCTCGGTTCCGCCCTTGAAAGACGCCGCATCAAGCTGTTTTACCGCCGGCGCGTCCCACATCGATGACGTAACTCCGGACTATCGCTGCATCATGGGAGTTGTAGTTTCCCAGGGCGCGGACTACAACCGGGAGGGCGGGGCAGGGCCGCGCCTGCAGCTGTCAAGAGGTAAGAAAACAGCGGCGCGAATTCCAGGTTCCCCTATTTGGCTTGTTGCCCCAAAATCTAATAGCTCCGGAATCCTAATTTGAAATTTTTTTTTTCAGAGAAGCGCCCTGAAGAAGACCAGGCCAATAGAGGCAGTGACTCATCCAGGGAGACAGGCAAGCCAGGGCCAGCTGCCCTTCAGTTGCCTTTGTGGAAGTCAGGACAAAATCAACAACATACCAGGCTCAGAGGGTGACTGCCCAAGCTCACATGTCAATCACTGGGCCCCTTATTATGTGCCAGGCACTAGGAGACAGCAGGAGAGTGCCCAACAGGGCACAATTGAGTGGCTATTTAGTCCCCATAATGCAGCAGGTGCAAACTGAAATGTGCCCTAAGACTTGGTGTGAAAAAGAATGTAAATCATCTCGTTAGTATTTCTATATTGATGGCATGTTTAAGTTATATTTTGGATAAATTGGTTTAAGTAATATAATTACCTAATTTTTCACCTGTTTCATTTTACTTTTAAGTGTGGCTACTAAAATTTTTTTTAAATACTTAAAAAGTACCAATAAACTCAATGAAAAAAATATTTAAAAGTACCAATAAAGCCGGGTGTGGTGGCACACACCTATAATCCCAGCACTCCGGAGGCTGAAGCAGGAGGATTGCTGTGAGTTCAAGACCATCCTGGGCTATGTAGTGAGTTCCAGGTCAGTCTCAAGTACATAGTGAGACCCTGTCTCAAAGAACAAACAAACAAACAAACAAACAAAAAGTACCAATAAACTCAATGAAAAAAAAAAGTGCAGTGGCATATGCCTATGGTCCCAGCACTCCAAGAGGCTGAGTCAGGAAGATTGCAAGTTCAAGCCCAGACTGGGAATCTAGTAAGATCCTATCTCCAAAGATCTGGGGAATGTAACTCAGTGTGAAGGGCCTGGGTTCAGTCCCCAGTACTGCAAACACAGACAAACAAAAATGTAGGTACTGGAAAATTTTAAATTACATAAGTTGCTTACATTTGTAGTGCACATTGTATTTCTATTGAACAGCACTGTTTAGGCAGGTAGTTAGACAAAAATGGGGACCAAAGGGGAGTCCTAAATAGCATGGTCCCATGATAATGTGACAGGCAAGTGTACATCAGCTGAAGACATCCTGGTTCTTGGAGAACCCAGTAGTGATAAAAAAAAAAGTGCGGGAGGGATTTCCCCTAGGGTAAGGACAACTTCTTTAGCTTGTTATCGTGTCCCACCTACTATATTGTTAGAATGCTTTCCTTACCTCCTTCATCAACATAAGATCCTCAGCAGCATAAGATTCTCCTCAACATAGGATAACTGCTGTCCCCTAAGTCACCTGATACCCTCCAGTTACTGTGTATACCCAATCCATGACAGTCAGCTCAGAGACTTTATATTTGTCCACTCTGAGGCACTGACCGATATGCTTTGAAATTATGCAACACTCTATTGTCTTTTTTCTTTAACCCTTGCCAACCCCAGTCAGAGGATTGATCACCCTCTAATAGGGATCAGATTGCTTCAGTTGCTGAAACCATGTTCAAATCTCTGTGCCTACCCTTACTTCTGTGTTCTTAGGTCAATGACTTGGCCTGAGCCTGCTTCCCTGTGTGTAAAAAGGAAATAATAGCCCCTACCCCAAGTGCTGTGTCCCGACTGCCTGACATGGTGCAGTGTACAGCTTGCAGGAGGTGGATGGTGGCAGCTCTTTGGCCTACCAAGTGCCAGGGTGTAACAAGAAGCTTTAGCACAGGGTGCCAGAGCATCAGAAGTTCTCCCTGTTGATGTTTGCAGGCAGAGGGGTCTGGGGGGCCCCAAAGTGGAGCTGACACCCAATGTGGATCTGGACAGGAAGAAGTGTGCCCCACGCAGCAGCCAGTACCTGGCTCACTACAAGGGTTTCCAGAATGCCACGGAGGTCACATGGCACCGGCTCTGGGCCACAGGAGTACCTGAGTGCGCTGACACAGCCTTTCCTACCAATCGGGGCTGCCTCTTTAGACAGTCTCACTATGTATTCTAGGCTGGTCTTGAGTTCACTAGGTAGCCAGGCTGGTCTCAAACTTACTACAATCCTGCCTCAGCCTCCTTAAGGCTGGGATGAGAATTACAGGCACCCACCACCATGCTTGGCAAATCAGTTTCTTCACCACCCCCAAACCATCATTGCTAGATACACGCACACTTGCCAGCCCAAAGCACCCTCCACTCTGTGTTTTGAACACCTTTAATAGAACTCTGTTGTTTCTGACTGTCCCTCTCCCACCACAGGCACTCGGACAGAGTGACCCAGTGGAATGCAGATGCTCACTCTCCTCCCCAGGCTGCATCAGCAATGCCTTTGCTGTCCTCTGGGAGGTTTTGAGTCCAGGGACAAGTTTGCTCTCATGATGGAGCTTGGTGGAAGGCTCTTGAGCAGCTCAGGGCAGAAACCGGCACCATCAGGTCTCCGTGTCATCCCAAAGCTGGAGGCAGAACCCCGAGGGGCTGCCGCTGTGTCAGAGGAGCTCTGGGGAGTGGCTTCCCCCTTTCACTCAGTGGCGAGACTGCTCCAATGGGAGGAAGAGGGTGCTGGGTGTTTGGGGGGAAGACAAGTCACTAAAAGTGTGAAAATGATCTGTGCCCCCTGGGGCTGACCCTGGAGCACCACAAAAGCCCCGGCCCCGAGGCTGCTCTGTCGCTGGCCTGGCTCAGTCCCCACAGTGGCAGCTCCGAGGGCAACGGAAATCAAGGGTCTGGAAGCTGCGCCAGGATGGCAGGGACCCCACGGCCCGGTTGTCGGCCAAGAGGAAAGGTCCAAGGGGTGGGGTTGGCCAGTTAGGGGTCCACGAAGGAGACGGCGATGTAGCGGGTGCCCCTGGTGGTGGGGAGCCCCTCGTGGTAGTGTGTGAGCCGTCCGGGGTGCAGGAGAGCCCAGCCCTTCCGCGGGGCTCGGACGGAGCAATTGTAGCGCAGGAACCGGCAGCCGCCGCCCTGGGAGAAGGGAAGAGGGGACGCGTCAGTGCCTTCCACGCATGCGCCAGTAACCCCGAAGCCGCCGTGTGTAGCGACAGCCACGGGCTGAGCAGAGGTAGGGATGGCGAGCTCTGGCCCTGGAGCCAGGCAGCCACGGACAGAAGCCACTCTTCCCGCTACTAACTTTGCGACCAACCTGAGCCTCAGTTTCCTCTTCTGTAAAGTAGGCGTGAGACTGCACTAAGCTGTGAGGCTTGGCTTGGTTAGGGTGCGGGGCTGGCATGCGTGAAGCCCTGTATGGCCCTGCCTAGACCACCCCGACCCGCTCACCTCGTAGTCCTCCCCGACTCGGTTGAGGGCAATGTTGACAGTGAAGGTGGAGGCGTCGTGGTGCGGCATCAGCGAGGGCTGCTCATCTGGCTTGTAGCGGACAACAAAGGCCAGGTCGAACTGGGCCTGTGCGGGCAGGGGTGAGAGGCTGGTGAGGGTGGGAGGGGCAGGGGCCGCCAGGGCCCGACACAGAGTCCCTGGGTAACTGGGACAGTTCCGGGCAAGAAGATTCTCAGTAAAAACACGGAGAAAGCAGGGAGAGGAGGGACACGGGGTGGGGGGGAGTGGAGAAGGGAAGGAAGGACCCAAAGGGAGGGAGACAGGACAAATCTAAGCCTCCTGACCCGTGGGCCCCCATCCAGGCCTCTGCTTCCTTAAGAGGAGGCCCCGGGCATGCCCAGAGCAGAGGTCTGGAGACATGAACAGGGACAGAACAGAGCCAGCCAGAGTGACAGAGCCTGAGACACAGCGGACAGGCACACAGAGGTAGGATTCAAAAGGAGTGAGCAGAAAGAATGGCTATCCTCAAGAAATCAAATAGTATATGAGTGTGGGGCACATGCCTGTAATCCTAACACTCAGGAGGCTGAGGCAGGAGGATTGCCACAAGCTTGAGGCCAGCCTGGGCTACATAGTGAGTTCAGGGCCAGCCTGAGCTACATAGCAAGACCCTGTCTCAAACACACACACAATTAAATAATAATAATCAAATAATAACAAGTGCTGTCGAGGCTGCGGGGAAAAGGAGCCCTTCACACTACTGGTGGGAGAGTAAACTTGTACAACCACTATGGTAATCAGAATGGGGATTCCTCAAAACAGTAAAACTAGATGTGGTGGTACATGCCTGTAATCTCAGCACTCAGCACTAGGGAGGCTGAGACAGGATCAAGATGAGTTCAAGACCAGCCTGGGCTATTTAATGAGTTCAAGGACACCCTGAACTACACATAAGACCCTGTCTCAGAAAACCATAAAGCAAAAAGAAACTAGAAATTTCATTTAACTCAGCTTTTCTCCTTCAGGTATCTTCCTTAAAGAGTTACAAACATCGTATTACAATGATGCATCCATATTCATGTTTATACCAACACAACTCATAATAGTTGTCTTGGAAGTGTCCCTCAATAGATAAATGTATTATACACAATGGAGTACTACACTGCCATAAAAAAGAATAAACTTGAGTCATTTGTAGGAAAATGGATGTAGCTTGAGGCCATGACATTAAGCAAAATAAATCAGACAGGCAAGTTTAAATAACACATGATTTCTCTTACATGAGAAGCCTAAAGTATAAGTAGTTTAAAATGCAAAATAAAAGATAGATACCAGGAAACAGTGAGATAGATCTATGCAAATGGGTAGGAAACCAAGAAGAAAGGAGAGGAGAAGGGAATGTAAAAAGAATTAAGATGTGGGGGCCAGGGATTTAGCTCAGTGGTGCCAACACCTGCCTCACAAGTGCAAGGTCCTGAGTTTAATCACCGGTACCGAAGGGGAGAGATGTAACCAGGCATGGTAGCACTCAGGAGGCTGAGGCAGGAGGACTGCCATGAGTTCAAGGCTAGCCTGAGCTACATAGTGAGTTCAAGGCCAGCCAGAACTACACAGTGAGACCCTGTCTCAAAAAAAAAATTAAGATGTTTGTACGTGTACCAATTTGGCACGAAACATGGGCTCATAAACATTTGTTAAAACTGAAAAAAGTGCCAGGTGTGGTGGGGCACTCCTGTAATTCCAGCACTCAGGAGGCAGAGGCAGGAAGATCCTCTTGAGTTGGAGACCAGCCTGGGCTGCACTACAAAGCGAGGCCCTGTCTCAAAAAAAATAAAAACGTAGTGTCCTCCTGAGACCCTAGTGCACCCCAAGGTGCAGCCTCCCCACACCCTGTCTGATGCAGGGCAGACCCCACTTCTCCCTGGGAGCCCAGTGTCCAGCCTCTCCCCAAGCTGGGATGGCCCTGCCCCTCCCTGGTCCAGGCTGCACCCAGGCCCCCACCCTGGTGTAGTAGCCGGGGTACAGCTTCTCCGTCATGGGGGCGATGTACTCCACCAGGAACTTGTGCCACTCCCGCTCGAAGCTGATCTGGTTCATGTGGATGTCGATGGTCGGCACGTTTTCATAGCCGCCCTGGATGCGGTTGTCCTGGAAGGGACCACAGCGAGCAATAAGACAGCCCCTAGATTCCTGTGCCTGGCACGCAGGCTCAGGATGGGACGGCGTGACATCAGGAGGCAAAGGGGAAGAGCCCAGATGTAATCAGGGCCCCGTCAGTCAGGTGACCTTGGCTTAATCAGACAGAGACAAGGCTAGCTAGGCCCGGCAAGGAGACTGGCACAGCATTTAAAGGAAGGCCTAGGACTGAGAGACAGTGTCACACTGGCATGGAAGAGGCAGCTGCCCTGTGAACTCTAGCTTCAGGGAATGGAATCCTGTCGCTCAACACACGAGCTGAGGAAGGGACTCCAAGCCTCAGAGGAGACCCAACCCCAGCTGCCCCTGGACACAGCTTTGTGAGAGGATCAGAGGATCCAGCTAAGCTGTGAACAAGTACTGTAGCCCAGCCTGGTGGTGCAGACCTATAATCTCAGTACTCTGGGAGGCCGAGGCAGGAGGATCCCAAGTTCAAGCCCAGCCTGGGGAACTTAGCAATTTAACCAGACCCTATCTCAAAATAAAAAAGGGCTGGGAAGTGAAAGGATGGAAAACAATTCTCCATGTGACAGGAGCCCAGAAAAAAGCAGGGGTAGCAATCTTATTTGCAGACAAAGCAAATTGCAAACCAAAACTGATTCTAGTATTATTGATGTAGGACGGTACTGTATCATACCTCTGTGAATGTAAAATACCTTGTACCTGCTTTATGATACATAGTAGTGACTGTGCTTTATCAGAGCTATTTTTAATGATATTACTCTAGAATGTTCTCTTTCCAGATGATGATTAAGATGCTAAAAAGAAAAATGGTGCCAGGTACCACAACAGCAACAGAACTTTGTTGTTTTCTGGATATTATTCTTTTCTCTTTTTTTTTGTTTTTGTTTTTTTAATGGAATGTGCTGAATGTCTATAATTTTGCTCAGATGACTGCAGAACCTGGAAAAGCTGTTGCTGCTATTGATGCTTTACATACTGCTATTACTGGTCTTTTTATATAAATATAAATATATATATATATACATATATATATATAATTTGAATTTTTGGAAACTTTAACGGTGCTGTCAACTTTGGAAAAAGTTATCCCAATTTACTGTGTTGAGTTGGCATTGTACAGAAATGGACAGCCATATTGGTCTAGAAATGTTAATTTTTTAAATTTAAATTTAAATTTAAATTTTTATTTGTATTTTCCATTTGTACAGGGGTAACGCACTGTATTAAATATGTAAGGTCATATCTACGTAGGTTTGATTACAGAAACTAGTAAAGTATTCTCTAAATGAAAAAAAGAATAAGATAAGACTACAAGAGCAAGAAGCAATTTAAATATGTTCAGGGACCATTTTCATCTTTAGAATTAAGGATTATTTTATTCTTACATCATTGCCTTTTCTCTTTTACTTTCCTTTTTAGTTTTATTTTAGGATTCCCTATTTTTAATGTTGTTCATACAGAGATTACTCTAACTGAAATACCAAATAGTTTCTCTGGTGTGAAAAACTATAATAGTACACAGGATCCTAATAAGATAATTAATAATGTGAAATAGGAAGTAAAGGGCTAAAGGTGTAGGGAAAGTGGGAAGGGTGGGGGAAAGGTAATAAGGGAGAGGAAAAAAATATGAGAAATTGAAAAAATGGAAATAAAGTGTTTGTAAATGGGGAGAGAGGGGGTGAAGGGAGGGCAGGAACAAGGGGAAAAAATGAGAATCAAGTCCTATTATGTAAAGGTACAGGATCCCAATAATGAATGTAACTGTATTGTATACCTACATTGTACCAATAAACTCAATAAAAAGAAAAAAAAAGGGCTGGGAATACAGCTCAGTGCGAAAGCCTTGGGTTCAATCTGCAGCACTGGAAAGTAAATAAATAGGAGTTGTGTTAAGCCACTAAGCTTGTGGTCACTTGTCACACAGCAGAAGGCCCCACTTAGGTCTGTGGTTGGCCCTGCCACTAAAGTACCAGGGTTAGCCAGAGCTCAGACTGAGCTAATCTAGCAGGCTCTGGGTGGCCCAGCCACCAAGACAAGTGGACTAAGCAGGTACCAGAAGCCAGGCACAGTGGCATACAGCTCCCAATCCCAGCTACTCAGGAGGCTGAGGCAGGAGGATGGGAAATGTGAAGCCAAGAAAAGCATAGCTCACAAAATGAATAAATAAAAAGGGCTGTGGACGTAGCCTGGCAGTGGAGCCCCTCGCTGGCATCAACAAGGCCCTGAGTTCCATTCCCAGCACCAGGGAGGGAACAAAGTTTCCTGAACCTCCCACTATGAGCTTCCTGCTTCCAGTAACGCACAGCCTCTGCACAGTAACGCACAGCACCAGGCCCCTGCATCCGATGTCTGCTGAACTTGGACCTGAGACCACAGGCCAATGCCCCTCATCCCACACATGCCCATTCCACATGCAAATAGGGGGCAGAAAGCCAACCGTGCTAACGGCAACCTGGAAGCAAAGACCCAACCACCTAGCTAAGGCAGCTCAAAGACACACTACATCAGGGGCTGACTGGGGACCAACAGTCTGTCTCCAGTTTCTCGATCTCTCTCTTCACGACTGCCTGTAGGCACCCCAGCCAGTACCCCCCAAGTCTCTGGTCCCAGAGACTGGCACAGGGCTGGGACAGAGTCCAGCAAGGGAGCCTGGGTGGCGGGGAGGCCTCTACCTTGTTGTCACCGAGGGACCACTGGCCGAAGTGTTCCATCTCCTGCACCAGCTCATCACAGGCCGTCTCCGTGAAGATGGGGAACCAGTAGACATCGGGGCAAGGCTGGGGAGAACGGGGACTCAGCACGGGGTCCAGGGCGGCACCAACCAGCTACGGGGCCCCTGGTATGGGCCACTTCTTACCCTAGGCCTGGGGGCTGCATTTGGGGACATTTCCCTCTGCAGTGCCAGTGGAGGGAGAGGGTCACCCTGCTACCTGTTCCTCCGCAGCAGCTGCAGCACCCCCAGGGCAGATGGAAAGGGGGTGCTTCCAGGGCGGCCCCCATCCCTGCCCCACTGTCCCATCCACTGCAGCCGGTACAGGGTGTGAGCCGATGGTTTTGTTCCCAGGCCACTGCTGCCCTTACCGTCTCCACCAGCTTCCCCGCCAGGGCCTTGGTGTAGTTCTCGTGGATGTACTTCTCCTTCCAGTCCTGTGGGGAGGGGCAGGGGTGGGGCTCACCACGTGTGCACCCACAGGACGCCCCGGGGGCTCAGGAGACGTGGACACCCAGGGCAGGTGGCTCTGCACCCGTGTTGGCTCCCGCGTGAGTGTGCCCTTGCGAGCATCTGTGTGCACATGGCTGCGTGCGGGCAGTGTGTGCCAATGCCCACATCAGCCACAAGCTCCCAGTGTCCAGGGTCACTGTCGCAGCGGCCTCCTCTGATCATGGTGACACCCTCAGGGCCAAGGCAGGCTGGGAGGGCACACCCTTAGAGGCCCCAGAATTTGCAAGGTTCAACCAAGTCACAGCAGAGCCGGGCAAATCTGGGCCTGACACCTGGCCCCTCCTCCATCAGATGGCTCTGTCTCCAGGGAGCGCTCCTGACCCAAATCCTGCCCTGGCTACGGAGTCCCACAGGAGTCAAAAAGGAGAGGCAGGTGCCCTGCAGACCAGGGAGGCGCCTCTGGCCCCGGGTCAAAGGAGTCCTTCCCTTCCCAGACCCTCCCGCCCGCCCACCTCACCTCGGGGTTGCTGAAGACCTCCCAGAGGTCGTTGTGGAGGTGGGTGGTCTGGTAGCTGTCCAGGGACAGCAGGTGGCCAAAGCTGTGCCGGTTGGTCAGGAACAGGAACACCTCCTGGGGAGAGCAGGCCTGATGGGAGAGCGGCTCCCCACCATGTCCCCCTGCACAACCCTGGGACAGAGTCGGCCTGCTGTACCCGCCAGGCTGTGTTCACAAGTTAGCTGCCTGTGAGTGGGGGTTGCCTCTGTCCCCAGCACCTGGCCCAGGTCCAGCACTGGGGATGGAACAAGAAGACTTCCTAGAGGGTGGCAGGGAATAGAGGACTGATATGTAAAAGAAAAGGACTCTGAGCTGGGCGTGGTGGCGCACACCTGTAATCCCAGCACTCAGGAAGCTGAGGCAGGAGGATCGCTATGATTTCAAGACCAGCCTGAGGTACATAGTGAGTTCCAGGTCAGTCTCAAGTACATAGTGAGACCCTGTCTCAAAAAACCAAAAAAAAAAAGAAGCTCCCAGGCCTAAGTGACAAGGTGGCCCACCTCCCCACCCCACCCACTGACCTGCTGCCGGATGTTGGCACAGAAAGCCATGTCAGGGTCCAGCTTCCTGTGGTGGAACAGGTCTGTCTGCTGCAGCTCTGCCCGCAGGGCACTGCCCTTGATCAAGTAGACGTTGGAGATGTAGGGCACATTCCAGACTCCACTGCGAGGGGCAGAGGAACAAGGGGGTCACTGGGGAGTAGAGAGGGGTCACAGGCTGGGAGAGCATTCTACAATTTTTGTGTTTGGTATGGGGGATCGAACTCAGGACCTTGAGCTTTTGAGGCAGGCGGCAGCACCACGGAGCTAAATCCCGGGTCCTCCGTTTCGATTTTGAGACAGGGACTCACTCTAGTTCAGGCTGGTCCCCAGCCCATGGCAATCCCTCTGCCTCAGCCTACCGAGGGCTGAGATTACAAGTGGGAACCACCACGCCGGCACAACTGCAATTTCAGGGCAGCCAGGACAGGTAACCCCAGGCGGGGAGGAGTCGGAGGAGCCCTGCCGCGCTGGTACTCACACACGTCGGCCGTGTACAATGTCCACGTAGTCCTCGGAGCGAGCGTAGTATCCCTCCGCACTCAGCGCCCCCCAAAAGTTCGACCACAGTCTCCCGTGGCGCGTCAGGAGGGGCGCGATGACGTTCCTGAGGAAGGGGCGTCTCAGCGGGAGCAAGGAGGCAGATCGGACTGGGGGTGGGGACAGGGAGGGGGCGTCCCGGACCGAAGCCCAGGCCACAGGGGCGGCCGAGGAGCAGAGGAGGAGCGGGGTGAGGGCTCCCCTTCCCTGGCCGCCCAAGACTCACTTGTTCTGCTCGATCAGCAGCCGCAGGCTGTCGGGCTCAGTGAGAGCCACATCAGAGTCCATGCTGAAGTAGTAGGTGCAGGCGTGGTCCTGCCGGCACAGGTCCCTGTGGGGTGGAGGGCGAGAGCTCAGTGACCCGGGGCTGCAGCCACGGGAGGGACCGGCCGCCCCAAAGGTCCCTCCCAGCACCGAGACCCACAGCTGGGCTAAGGCGAGTGACAGTCCTGGGGGAGCACAGCCTGCCAGACAGGCCCTACGCTGCAGGGTGGGGGTGCCCGTGCCTGTGTGGAGGGCAGCTCGGTAACTTGTACCAGAAGCCTGAAAAATGATGAAGGCTGGGCCAGGCGCAGTGGTGCCTGCCTGTAACCCCAGCACTCGGGGTGACAGGAAGATGGAAAGTTCCAGCCCAACTTAGAGACCCTGTCTGAAAAGGAAGGAGATAGATGGAATGGGCTAATGATATTGCTCAGTGCAAAGGCCTTGGGTTCAATCTACAGGCTGAAAAAGAAAAAAGAGGGCAAGAGGGCAAGAGGGCAAGAGGGCAAGAGGGCTGGGACTTAGCTCAGCGGTACAGCCCTTGCTGAGCATACACAAGACCCTGGGTTCCATCCCTAGAACCACAGAAACAACAGCCACAACAAAAGTGTGTCCTTTGGGTTCACCTGGCCCAGGGCTTAGCAAACTGTGGTCCCTGATCCAAATCTTCCCACTGCCTGTTTTATGTTTTTTGTCTTTGGTACCTGGGATCAAACTCGGAATGGGAACCTTGCACTTGCAAGGCAGCGGGGAGGAACCACTGAGCTAATCAGAACCCTGGCCCTGATTTTGTTTTGTGGCCACTGCCTGTTTTTGTACTGCTCATGGGCTAAGAATAGTTTTCTGTTTTTGAATGACTGGAGAAAAACATCCAAAGAATATATGAAGAGTATAAGGAAGTCAAATTCCATTGCCCGTAAACACAATCTTGCTGGAACACAGCCATGCTCGCCCTTTATGTGTCCTCTGAAGCCACTGGGCCACAAGAGCAGAGCCCAAGAAACCCATTCGCACATGGAGTTACCCGCTAGTCCTTCACAGGAAGCTGGCCAGCCTCCTCTGATCTGAATAATTCTTCCACAATCCATGCAAATTACTTGTGTCTTTGCTCCTGTGTGTGTGTGTGTGTGTGTGTGTGTGTGTGTGTGTGTGTGTGTTCTGTTGTTCTTACTATGTATTCCAGGCTGGCCTTGAATTTATTGCAATCCTCTTGCCTCAACCTCCTGAGTACTGGGATTATAGGCTTGCACTAAAACACCCAGCTGATCTGTTCTTTTATTAAAAGCAAAGCAAGCCAGGCATGACAGTAAACAAGGAGGCTGAGACAGGAGGATCACCATGAATTCAAGGCCAGCCTGAACTACATAGCGAGACCCTGTCTCACACAACCAACTAATAACAAGGTAACGATAATCATAACCACAGCCCATCCGCCCACCAGGGGACCCAGCCCGGGACTCACGCGCCCAGGTTCCTGGCATTGGCGTTTGCCGTCCGCACCTCGGGGCCCACCAGCTTCACTGACTGGTACTCACCGCCGTGCTGGGCCAGGAACTGCTCCACCTGGGCCTTGTGGTGCTGCTCCTGGGGGTGGCAGCAAGGTGAGTATGGCGGGGGGAAAGGCCCATCCCGGGGGCCCCAGCGCCCCCTGGCACTGCCAGGTGACTCCTTCCACCTCCACCACATCCTGGCCACCTGCATTTCTGTCTCCAGAGCTCTACCCTGAAGGCCCATCCCTGGCACCAGGGGACCCCTGACTTCAATGTGACCACCAACAGCGCTTTCCCAAGGCCTGGTGTGGAGGCGAGGACAGAGCAGGGTCTGCAGACCCTAACCCAAGGTCCAGACTGACTTCGGCCACCCTGTGATGCGTCTGTGCCCTTGCGCCAGCCCTTGCATCCATCTTCACTTCCGTTTCATCCCTTGTACAATGGAGGGACAACCACACCACCCTCCCAGGTCATGGCAAGCAGGCATCAGGTCAGCTGCTGCACCCAGTAGGTCCTCAGAGGCCGCCTGCGACACTTCCCTTTCACTTGCTGTCTGCGGGCAGGGCCTAGGTCCCCTCTGTTTCCAGGTGGCACAGTGCAGGACGGAATGAATGGCGGTGACCCAGGCAGGGAGCTGAGCTGGGTCTTTGGGGTGAGGTGCACTGTCTCAGAAAAAGAGGGAGCTCGGTGGGACGGCACAGGCCCGTAATCCCAGCACTGTAGGAGGCTGAGACAGGAGGACTGTACGTTTGAGCACAGCCTGTGCAACTTAGTGACTTAGTGAGACCTGGTCTCAAAGTGAAAAATGAGAAAGGGGCTGGGAATGCGGCTCAGTGCAAAGGCGCTGGGTTCAATCCTCAGTACTGAAAAACAAGGTCTGAGGGCGGGAGCTCCAGACAGGGCAGCTGAAGGACTGTCGGGGAACCAGAGCTTCGCACACAGGGAGGCTCTGAAGCGTGTGCTGGCACTGCCGCTGGACAGACAGGTAAAGGAGGGGAGAGGGAGAACCATGTGGCCGGAAGGGGAGATGGGCGGGAGGAGCTGAGGGCTGAAGCCCGGCGGCTCCCCACAGAGCGGTGGCCTCAGGGTCCTCCCTGATTGTCCAAAAAGTACTGAAGGAAAACCAAACCAAACACCAGGAACTCCTCTCCACCTAGGACAGGCCAACCTGGTCAGCTCTTGTAGCGACCCCATGTGGTTGGCACCTACACGGGAATCGAACTCAGGACCTTGTGCTTGCCACGCTGGCACAGTGGCACCATTATTATCCATCCACTTTTTTTTTTTTCTTTTGCAGTGCAGGGAATGCAACCCAGGGCCTCATCTATGCCAGCAAGTGGTCTTCGACTGGGCTACATCTTCAGCTCCTTCTGTTTCTGGAGTCAGATTTTCCCTCAATCACCCAGACTAACCTCAGACTTGCAGTCTCCCCGCCTCAGCCTCCCACTCCTACACCCACCACCACCTCTGTTCCATAGATGAGAAAACGGAAGCACAGAGAGGTTGGGGAATGTGCCCAAGGCCACACAGCCAATAAAAGCAGTATGGTTGGGAGTGAAGCCCAGCCAGTCTGACTCTAGAGCCAGTCTTGTCATTCGGGGACCTGGCCCACCGCCCACTTCCGTTGAGCCCAGACAGGCCTGGATGAGTCAGGTCCTCAGAGGCCTCAGCCTCCTCAGTAAGCTGGGCCCGCCCCACGCCACCTGAGGGTCACGCAGCTCTTGCCACTCACATGGTTGTGAATGAAAAGCCGCATCTGGCTCCGGGGGTAGTGGAGGCGCAGGAGCCGCTGAAAGAACAGGGATAGGAACGGCGTGGACTGCTCGATGAACACGCCGACCAGGACCACGGGCAGAGCGTCGTCCTGTGTGGAGGAGGTAGGACAAGAGTCCAGCAGTGTCCCCCGCCAGGCACTGTCACCAAGCCTTGGTGTGGCCCCGGGGGAGCAGGGCTACAAACAAAATGAGCAGCTGTGGCCGGGCATGGCGGTGCCTGTCTGTGATCCCAGCACTCGGGAGGCTGAGGCAGGAGATGGCAGGTTGCAAGCTGTCTCAAAACAAACCAACAAACAAAACTCATGTGGCCTCTGGTGGTCAGGGGCCTAGGCCAGGGCACGTCCAGTGGGTTGGGCAGGCAGCTGAGAGCAAGGCCCGGTGGGCAGGGCGCTGAGGACGCAGCCCCACTGGACGAAGAGGAACAGGGAGGAGGAACAGAACGCAGTCATTTGGAGGGAAGCCAGTGCCTGTGTGGTCCATGAAGGCTGCCAGGAGGGAGTAGGAGGTGGCGTGGGGGACAGCAGCTCAGACGGAGGTGAGCAAGAGCGAGAGGCTATTCCAGGCCCCCGTCACCTCCCCCATCTCTGGGAGCCTCCTGGTGTCCTCCCGCGGCCTCACCCCGATGCCCTTGAGGCTGCGCAGGCCCTCGTCACACACGGTGCAGCCCGTCTCGAAGGTCCAGAAACGCGGGATGTAGTTGCCCAGGTAGTTCAGCTGCAGCTGTGGGGAGACGCAGTTGGAGCCAGCGAGGCCACCCCGCCCTGGCCACAGCCCCCACCCAGCCCTGAGTGACCTTGGGGACAGCAGTGGAGCACGAGGCGCTGTGCCCTCTTCGGCCACTTGTAAAATGCAGGTTTCTGGGCTCCCACCCAGATAGAGGGCCCTGAGGCCTGCCCTGCACAGCTGATCTGCCCCCCAACATCTTCCACAGAGCCACGGATGTGGGGGCCTCAATCCTGCTCCCAGCGGACCACACCTTCTCTCTGGGGCAAGCATTCCAGCATTCTGTAAATGCTCCCGGGGCGAATAAAGAACTGCGCCCCAGGACGAGGGTGTGCAATGGCTCTGGAAGCCCCACTTCTGTCCAGATGGGGACAGATGACGACAGAAAGCTGTTGTGCGTCCTGCTGTCTGGCAGGGAGGGATGAGCACTGAGTACCAGGGGTGGGAGGGAGAGAAGACATGACTCACGGCTCCCCCCAGGGCCGGGCCCTCCTACCTTGGTGGGCCCGTTGCCGTGGATCAGGACTGGGAGGGTGTCATAGGCCAGGTTCCGAGCTCTCACGTGGCCCATTTCAAACTTGAGCACAACTTCATCTGGGAGTCAGAAAGCACAGCCTGTCCACATCCGCCCACCGGCCAGGCCTGGGAGCTGACAGGTGCGGCAGGGCATGGCCTTGGGCAAGGCGCTTCACTCCCTGCCCTCGGTTTCCCCATCTGTAAAATGGGGACAATCCCTTCTTTGTGCCCCCAAGCCAAGTGTGAGATGTGTTAGAGCCAGAAGTGGTGGTGAGAGGGGGCCAAAAACCCAGACCATCCACCTTCCAACATGTACAGCGGCACCAGGACCCTGGCACAGAGGGTCCCGCAGCAGGGTCCCTGGACCTCTGCTCCGACCCTCGTAGTCTGCACAGAAGAAAACAGGCAGGAAGCTGCCGATGGCATGAGATGCACAGGGGCTTCCTGAGAGGATGTGAGGACAGAGGCCTTTGTGGTGGTGACTACAAGGACTGACCCCTGTGCAAGGTCCTGAACTGCCCAGAAGGGGACCTGGACCCCACTTCTCCACCCAGGTTCAGAGTCCCCCAGAAACCACAGGCAGAAGGATGCTGTGGTTCTTCTCTGGGAGAGGACCCACGGTTTTCATCAAAAGGGCTGCATAAGTTAAATCACCAATCACGGTTCTGGCTGGATTCCCAGTGGGGAGGGTGTGGTCACCCAGCAAGATCTACGGCCAAGCATCATATTATCACCAGCCACAGACATGCGGCTGGGCCCGAGGACTTGTGGGTGAAGTGGCCCCTCAGCTTCCCCTCAGCTAGGCCAGCTCAGTCCCTGCCCCCACCCAGGAAACCTTCCCCGGAGATGGGGAGCCATCTGTAAGGAAGGTCCACCTGTAAGATCCTGCAAGGCAAGGGTCCAGTTCATGCTCTGTGCACCCAGCTGCCCCTTTCCCGGCTTCCCATGAGAAACTGCTCTCTGGGACCTGGCACAGGGCCGGTGACCTCCCCGAGCAACCAGTAGAGAGATGCCCTCCAGTCCCCTGGGCTCAGTCCTGCCTGGAATCCTCGTTCCTCCCCTCCTCAGGGATGCTGCTCACCCAAGGCTCCGTCCAGGTTCTGGAAGATGCGGCAGCGATGGTCCAGGGAGATGTTGATCTGGCCCTGGGGGAAGAGGGCACTGAGCTGCAGCGAGGCCCAGCCCTGGCAGACAGGGTGCCCAGCACACCAGCATGGGGGCCATACCCGTGCTCACTAGGCCTTGTCACATCAGGGCAGATGGGCACCAAGCCCCTGGGGTTCCCTGGTCTAGTGGCTTTACTCAGAGAGCCAGGAAACCCCAGATCAGGAAGGAATCTAGCAGCTGGTTCACCCACAACAACCGCCACAATGACAACCACAATGGTAACTTTACAAACACTGATTAGCACTTTGCTGCATGCCAGTCACCACTGTAACTGTTCTGTGTACATGTGACCCTCATGCAGCCTGATGAGAAAGCAGCTGCATTACTGCTATTTTTTTTTTTTTTTTTTTTCTGCATTTTTTGTTTTTTTTTTTTTTTTTTTTTTTTTTTTTTTTGGTACCGGGGATGGAACTCGGTACCTTGTGCTTGCAAGGCAGGCAGCGGAATCACTGAGCTAAATCCCTGGCCCCGCATTACTGCTTTTATTCCAAGCATCCAGTCATCCTGGCTGAGATCTGATGACTCCAACCTCACACTTAAGGCCCCCAGGACTGGGAGCCAGATGTTCTTAAGCCCTGTCTAAAGTAGTCTGTCACAGCTGCCCGGCAGACCGACACAACCAGGGCCTCCAGCCCCAGGGGACCGTCCCCAGACAGCCTGGACAGCTGGATCCAGAATCAGGATCCCTCAGCCCCTCTCTCGGCCCATCTGCCTCCTCTTACCCGCTTCTCCGGGTCCAAGAAGATCTTGGTGTAAAAGAGCTGGTCGCTGTCGCTGTCCTGACCCTCCCACTCAGCCACCAGCTTGCTGAGGTTGGGGGCATAGCCAATGAAGCCTGCGGAGAGGTGGCAGGGACCCCAGGACAGACACTTGGCTTCCGGCTTCTGAGTCAGGGGTCCGTTCCCCTCCCACCCCTTTACCCACAAACCCTCCCACCTCTCCGGAGTCGTCCTACACTGAGGGGAGGAGGGACACAAGCCCATTAATGTCACCGGCTGGAGGTTCCCAAGATCAATGGCACCCACCGAACTGTAGCTGCTTGGTCCAGAGACTGGACTGGGGGGACCCTGGGGGGTGGAGGTAGTGGGGTCCAGCCTTGGAGCCCCTTTTGTTCAGTGATCTGGGAAACCTGGCCCACAGGATGGGAGAGTGGCAGGGCCAAGGTCACACAGAGCATTCTGGACGCTGAGCCCCGGTAAGTGAAAAAAGCCCACCAGGATCCCTGGCTTGTGCAGACACAAGAGGCAAAGAGAGGAGAAACACAGGACACCCTGACCCCGAGGCCAAGGCCCAGGCCAGAACATCTGCACTGTGCTCACTCTGGCCCAGTGAGACCGTGGCTGCTGGACCGATCTCCCCTCCTCTCCAAGCAGTGGGAATTGGCTGAGCCATGAATGCAGATTTGCAACCTTTTGTTTGTTTTTGTTTTTGAGACAGTGTAGTCCAGGACAGCCTCAAACTTCCAATTCTCCTGCCTCAGCCTCCCTAGTGCCGAGATTATAGACGTGCCCACAATATCCGGCCATCGGCACCCTGTAAGGGCTCCCTTGGGGTGCAGATTGGAGAAGACACCAGAAGGGGATGGGGCTGGAAGCGGATGTGCACATCCACAGGGCAGATTGGAGAGCTCTCCCGGAAGGTGTCACGCGATCCACGCTGGACCAGAAGCGGGAGAGGCCAAGGGCGGCATAGTCCTCTCACCTCCAGAGCCCAGGAACCTCTTGCCATCGGAGACCTCGGGGTACTTGGGCCCTAGTCGGCGGTCGGGGTAGATGAGCTCCTCCGCGGAGAACACCACGCGGCTCCTGGCCTGCCGGAACTTCTTCAGGAGCTCCCGGGGCCCAGAGGCGAACACCACGTCATAGCTGCGGCCAGAGCAGGGAGAGGCACGCAGGGTCCGCGGGTGGGGACAGGGACGGAGGTGCCCCACGACCTCCTCCTCCACCAACCTGGGCCACCCCTGGGGGAACGGATCTGCCCGGGGTCTCAGGCAGAGCCCGCTATGCCTCCACTCTGACCCTGGGCAGAGGTGGTGCCCATAGCCTCGTCCTTATCACACTCGGAGCTGGCACCTCATTCCCTCTCGTCTCTTCCCCGAGAGCGGAGTGGGTGGCCTTGGATGGTCTTATCCAGGGCTTCACGGGTCCCTCAAAACCAGACAATCTTAGCTCCATGACCCTCCCTATCCCCGGTCACCCACCTGTCTGTGAAGAGAATGACCAGGTCCTCCTTGTCCACGTGCTTCTCCAGCGCCTTCTTCAGCAGCCGGACCTTCTGTCCTCCACCCGCCGTCATCCCCCTCTCCACGTCCCAGTCCTCCCCCAGGCCCAGCGCCTGCAGAGGAAGGCGGCTTAACGCCATCTTTCAGGAAGTGTTTCCCGGCTCAACCTCCACCCCTCTGCTGGGCAGTGGCCACCTTGCTTGTCTGGCTGGTCTAACACCACCGCTCCCTGCCGTAAAGAAACCATTCTGCAGGTGTGAGGCTGACCTGGCTCCTAGAGGCCATGTGTCCGCGCCTGGCCAATCAGAATGCACTGCCCCCCCCAGCCACCTCCGAGCACATTGCTCCTGGATCCAGCTTGGCCTGAAGCAGCTCTCTGCTTCAACGCTCTTTCCCATGAACTATACATCTTCATTCAGGCTTTCTGCTGAGCTGCAACAGAGGAGTACTCAGAAGGCTCAGGGGAGTGGAAGAAGAGCCGCCCCACAGGGCCAAGTCCCACGGACCACGCAGAGGACACTGAGCCCATGTCCCTCTCGGTCACCTCCTAGAACGGCCTCATGCCCTGCCCTTCCTTGTCCCTATTCACGCTCACCCTTCAGGGTTCCCCAAGCTGCCCCAGGGCCCAAGATGGTCTCAGGACCCTCGCAGTAGGGGAAGCGGGGACACCAGCCCCGGGAAAGCCCTCACCTGGATCTTGTAGTTGAAGAACTGCGCCGAGCGCTTGAAGCGGCGGAAGCCCTCGGTCTCCCTCGTGGCCACGGTGAGGACTAACAGGTTGTCTGTGGGCGGGGGGTGGGGGGGTGAGTGGGAATCGACGCAGCCGCGGTCACTGCTCAAAGTCAAAACCCAGCAGGACGCCGACCCGTCACAGCGGCCCCAATGGAAACCGACTTGAGGCCCCTCCACCAGCCCGCTCCTGCCTTCACCACCACCGTCGTCGTCAAGGACAGCTGCCTGGACCTTCTGAGCTCGGACCTCTCCCGGGCTTCACCTCCCACAGGGAACATACTGGAGGATTCCTGCGACAGCAGCTCTCTGAGACTCCCACTGGAAAGTGGAGATGGTAACGGCACCTATCGCCTGCTGGCCTGCCCGGCACAGGCTAAGGGCCGCCGCCGGTGCTGACGGGCGAGAGGAGGATGCCTCGCCTGGCTTGCAAGGACCCGTCTGGGGGTGACGGACTCTGGGTCCCTGGGCTCCTCTCTTCCTCCTACCACGGCTCCCTCTGTGTCCCATTTCTCTAACGGTCCTTCAGCTCCCAGGCCAGTGGCAGTGACCACCTTCTCCACTATCATCCCTGAAGCCTTGTCAGATTTTTGCCTTCTCCCGGCCTGGAGGGAGGAGCCGCTATGGGGCCTCATCATGGTTTCTCTGTGTGAATCCCAGTTCCCTCAGTGGCCAGGCCAAGGGCGGCGGGTAGAGCCCCTCCCTCCACCACAGGAAGTCTGAGTTGAGCTAAAAGGACAAAGGGGCCCGGCTGGCCAGGGCTGGCAGAGGCTGAGGTGCAGGCTGCTGGCGGCAGGGCTGGGAGCTGGCGGGTGCCCGGCAGCTGGCAGCGATTGGCAGGAACCAGCTGGGTCTAGGGGGCCGGGGCAGCAGGGGTGGGTGCTGCAGACAGGTGCAGGGGGTCCCACTACCTGAGCCCAGGATCCGGGGAAGGGGGGCTCTTCAGTGGGAAAGGGCTCCCCCAATTCCTGCTTTGATGGTTATATCTCACCCCCAGGCCAGGAGAAGCACAGTGACCAGCTCAGAGGCCCAAAGTGGGCTGCTGGGGACCGGAAGAGTGTCACATTTCATGGGTGGGAAAAGCCAGTGTGTGTGTGTGTGTGTGTGTGTGTGTGTGTGTGTGTGTGTGTGTGTGACAGAGAGAGAGAGAGAGGAATATTCTGGACTCTGTCACTGGGAACAGGCAGGGGAGGGGGAAAGGGAGCCCGCCATGATGTGTCTCAGGCTCCTGCAGCAAGTTTCTGCTTTCAAATAAGAGTCACAGCGGCAAACTTTTCACTCTGTGCACGCCCCACGCTGTCCCAAGTGTCAACACAGACCCCATCCCGCAGTTAGGCTAGGGGACGGCTTGCAACTTGCCCCAGCAGCCAGGGAGTGGCCACATCAGGGCTTGGACACAAGCAGCCTGTCTCCAGAGTCGCCGCCTGACCTGACTGTGTGATCCCAGGCCATCTGCTCCAGGGCCCTTCTCTGTCCAAGGAAGTTGGCTGGCTGGGTGTGGGGAAGCCCCCTGCGATGCCAGACCCTGCCTACACGCCTGCCCTCCTCCTTCCTTGTTTCCCTGCTTGCTACCAGCTACTGCCCCGGCCCTGACAAATCCTGGTCCCCCGCGCCATGCACTGCTCATGGCCCTGGCCAAGGATCCTGTGATCCCGGATTATCAGTATCACTCAGGATGTCTGAAGTCCAGACTCCCCGGGCCCGGATCTCCCAGATCTGTGATTGGCCACATTTGGGAACAACATTTGGCCACATCCGTGACACTGGCTCGGACGCAGGGGTGAGCAGGAGCTCAGGGCAGACCCTCCCACAGGACCTGGTACCAACCCTTAGCACCCCCAGAACACTGCCCCATTGCTCAGCTATCCCCATGTGCCTGGCCTCTCTGCAACACCCCCTTCTTCCCTAGGGAGCCCCTCAGCCCGCCTGCTCCAGGAAGCCCTCCTTCCTCTGTCCCTGTAGCCGGGCCCTCAGCTGCCCAGCAGGTGATACACTCGTGCAACACGTTCCTCCTCCCTTTGCCAGGCCAGAGCCTCGTCTTTGTCCCCCCTCCATCTCACTGGTTGGGACCCAGTGTGATCAGGGCACTGTGCATTGTCTGACCTCAAGGAGCAAGGTGGGGAGGCTGATTTGAGCAAGGGTGATGTTAACATTTACGCTCTACAAGGGAAGCAATGCTTTTTTGGGTTATTCTTGATTTTTGTTATTGTTGTTGTTTTAAGATGCTCTCGCTGTGTAGTTCAGGCTGGCCTTGAATTCACACTGTAGCCCAGACTGGCCTCAAACTCATGCAATCTTCCTGCCTCAGCCTCCCAAGTGCTGGGATTACAGGCAAATGCTAGACATCTGCAGACAGTTCTCGGGCCTCTGACAGAGGGCACCCCATGTAGGCACTCCGGAGGCCTTTACTGATCCACAGAAGGTCCGGCCACAGCTCTGGGCAACACGCAGTATAAGGATTTAGCACCAGGGCTGCCCATCTGCTCTTGTTCTCTCAGCCACCACTGTGAGTCAGGCCAGGCCCCATGGACCTAGCAGCTGGAGACCTCGGCCCTCCCCACATGCTGCCCAAACCCAATAAAACTTCCCCAGACCAACCCAGCCGGCGATCAGGGCCAGCGGAGAGACACCACTAGGCAGGCTGAGGCAAGAGGATTGCAAGTTCAAGCCCACCCTGAGCTACACAGTGAGACCCCGTCTAGCCTCCCCGTGCCTCAGTTTCCTCATCTGTGCTGAGACTCAAAGAGACGATAACAGCACCTTCCTCCAGAGACGTGAAGATGGAGACATGGGGCAAAGTGCAGGAGGGAGGAAGTTCCCCAAGGAACACACCGGGTGTCCTGGGAGACAGGCAAGCGCCCAGCCCAGATGGGTGTCTCCTGCTTCAGACTAGGTGTCCACCTGCACAACGAACTCTGTGTCCCTCTGACTGGCAACCCTTAAAAGTACAAACTGCCAGGCGTCGTGGCACGCACCTGTTATCCCAGCACTTGGGAGGCTGAGGCAGAAGGATCATTGCAAGATCGAAGCCAGCCTGGGGTACATAGTGAGTTCAAGGCTAGCCTGAACTGCATATCTAGACCCCGTCTCAACAGATCAAAAATAGATATAAATGAACCAAGGGAGCTGGGGCTGTAGCTCAGTGGTACAGCACTAGCCTAGCATATACCAGGCCCTACGTTTGATCTGAAGCATGGAAAAAAAAGTACAAATAGGGCAAGGGAAGCAAAGTGGCCCCCATTAGCACCCCATCTCCTGCTGGCCGTTGTCCACATCCTGAGTCCTGCCCTCCTACAGCAGGAGCGCTGCGGGGAGGGCCGTCCTGAATCACTGCCCCGTCATCACTTGGCCCACCCCTCACTCACCTCTCTGGGCTTCATCGTGGGCAGCTGCAGTCTCTCTCGTGGGATGGTCTGGGTGGAGGGGGCCCATCAGCAGAAGCAGGGGAATTGAGGCCCAGAAAAAAACAGAGGCAATTATAGGGCTGCTAGCTCCTGGTCAGGGAGCGGATGGGCCAGGGTGCAGGCCCTTTGCACAAGATGCTACCCAGCCCTGTGCTCAGCATTTTCCTCCATGATTTCTGGGACCTGTCTTAGGGCCAGGCTGGGGATGAGGAGGGGAGAAAATGCCCATGGCAAGGCTCGTCAATGGTCCTGGCATCTGCTAGCATTCTAGGAGTGAGATATAATGGCCCCCGGTGTGCAAGCTGGGATTCAGCCTGGTGGAGATTAAGCACAGTGACCCTGCCACCAGGAGGCACTGCCCTGGGTAGAGCCTGGCACAAAGGTGTCCAAGACACAGTGGTTTCCATCCCTTTCCCCGCCCATGCCCATCCTACCACCCTGGCTTCCAGGTTCTCTGCACAGTGACCCGAGTAGGACGGGTGCCATCAAGGTGTAGCCAGCTGGGCTTGGCTTTGCCCATATGGTCCATTTTCTCTCCACCTCCCAGGCTCCGAGGTGCCCAGCAGGGCAGCCCCCGAGGTGCCCCGGGCCAGGGAGCACTGAGTAGAGAAGACAGCCTCACTCCAACACCCACTCCGCCTTGGGTAAGTAGAACGAGCAATGGACTGAGAGTCCTGCAGAATGAGAACCCACCACCCAGGCACCTGCTTCCCCTGTCTGAACCTGTTTCCCCACATGAGAACTGGAGAGAAGACTTTTGTGGCAGGGGCGATGCAGAGGACACAGAGAAAGTTCCTGCCACTCCACAAACCTTCCTCCCACCTCACCCCAAAGCCCTGCATCCCTACGTGAGCCCCAGTAGCTCTGGAACCAGACACACCATGGCGGGGGATCTGGTTCAGAGCCTGCACATCCCGCAACCCTGGGAAAGTCAGTGAACTATGGATCCTCAGTTGGTCGGGCTGGAAAGTGGGGCTAAAGGAGAGATGCAGCTCCCAGAGGGGCGATGGCCCTCAGCTGACCTCTGCTCCCCTCGAGTGGCCCAGCACCAACCCTCAACACCCCCAGCCCTCTCCTGATGAGTCCCCCCTCCTGCTGCACAGGACTTGGCTGTCACTCTCTCTGCCCACTGCACAAATATGGGAACCGCAGCCCCAAGAGGGGAAGTGATTTCTCTGAGGACAAGTGTCCGGATCCCAGCACCATCCGTCTCAGCCCAGGCCTCCTCGGTGACCCCGGGATCCTCAGCGAGGTCTCCCCGACCACACCGACCGCCCCCACCCACCCCCGCCCTTTCGCACTCACCCCCGG